GCTGCTTGGAGACCTTCCTTTCCAGATATACCAATGCCCACGTGGCTGGCCGAGATCATGGCCAAGTCATTTGCACCATCACCGATAGCCAGGGTCAGGCCTCGACGTTTCCTACCATGGTATTTCTTAAGGCGAGATCGGACGGTGCTGACAAGTAGCGCTTTCTGCGCTGGAGAGGCACGGCAGCAAATGACCGAGTTGACTTGCAACATCACCTTAAAGAATGTGGCAGATAACTCCGGCGATTTTTCAACAGCCGCAAGCGTTTGGCCATCAATAACAACCACACTATGGACTGAACCAGTTGAAAGATCCTCTTGCAGGGCAATCAACTGCGAGTCAAGACTTCCCTTGGAAATGTCGAGAATATAGAGATCTGAACCAGGCCGGCAAATTCTGGCCGAGTGCGCGATGTTGATAGCAGTTTCTCGCTTATCACCTGTAAGCATCCAAACCTTGATATTGGCCTTTCGCAACCTCTCAATTGTCTCAGGGACGCCTTTCTGTAGCTTATCCTCAATGGCAGTTGCTCCGACAAGATCGAACGACTGCTCGATCATATCACCAGCCTCCTCAATGCGCTGTTGACGGTCATTGAGGCTAGTCGTAGCCTCGTCCCAAATCTTTTTCCAGGCCTGATATTCTTGTTCCGTAATGAACTTTTGCGCAAAGAGTAGCGTACGAAGGCCTTCGGTGGCAAAGTCATCCAGATGCTTAAAGCACTTAGCAAATGTCTCGGCATCGTCAAGCAGGGCTGGATCCTCGAGGAAGGCCAGGTGTTCGGGAATTGGTTGCTGGTAATGAACGGGAGTGTTCAGATACTGGCCTCGAGGGAGATCGATCGACACACCACGAGTCGCAATGGACAGACGGGGCTTATCCTCAGAGCGTCTAGAAAGTCGGCCAAATTCGAACGACTTGCTTCTATCCACATTAGGTCGTCTGCTTGTACTCCGATCCCTCGACACGCCTGGGTTTCGTCGGATAGTGAGGCTGGGCCTTCCACCAAAACTATTTCGTGGCTCTTGCTGCTCACTGCGTCGGTGCATCTCGCGTTCAATCTCAGCGCTCTTGCGAACCTCACTAGCCTTCTGCTTGGCGATCTGCGACATCTTCAGACGAGGCAAGATAGCAGAGTCGGCGCCTTTGCAGATAACCGATACACGGCCGTCTGGGGAACGAACAACGATCGACATCTTCTTCCTTGCACTTGTAAATTCAATCACGTCCAGGACCTCGTATTTGAACTCTTCCTCGTGGCCGTCAGGCTGAGTGACCTGAAGAGTGATGGTTTGGGTCGTTCGGTTTATGACAAGGTAACCGAGTTCCTGAGCAGCCCTGACGAGAGCAAGCTCGTCGGGAGATGCTGCTTGAAACTCTAGCTCTCCATTCTCCTTATACTCAGGCAAACAGGTGTGGCACAGAGCTACAGCGAGAATGTACTGCTTCGCTTTCCTAGCAAACCCTGAGTTGGGGCGGAGACGGAGGTATTCAATAAGATCATTCGTGGTAACGTCAGGCTGAATATGATCCGGACGTCCCGTTGAGCGCCATTGGGACGAAGACCTACGACTCCCAAACGAATTGCGTGAAGGTGCCATTGAAGGTCTCGAGGGTGCCATAGATGGGCGATGAGACATGGAAGGGCGAGGTGACATAGAGGGTCGAGATGGCGAAGCGAGAGCCAGTGGCGTAGATGGTTCATTCGACGCCTCAGCCTGCTCCTCTCTGATAACGACCGTGACAGGGTCGGTCTTGTAAACTGAAGGCTCACTTGGCTCTGACTCTTCATCGAGCTTAAGGGTCTCCACTTCATCGACCTTTGGTTCCAGATCCATCTCATGCAACCAAACAGTTCCTGCAACGCTGATCTTTCGAAATTTCATGATATTGTCCGTCAAGGTTCCCGTCTTGTCTGAAAAGACGTATCCCACCTGACCCAGATTCTCAAGGATAGTGTTCGTATTGCATCGGGCAGGGGTATCTGTCTCTTCATCATACATCTCAATATCCGAATTCAGCATCAGCAACTGGCCGATCTTGACGATTTCGAGACTGATATACAGCGACAGGGGTACAACGTTATTGAACATAATAATGAATGCAATGATGATCTGGTAGAAAGGCACCCTGGCTTGTTCCAGATACCACGAATCCCTTTCTGTGCTCTTTTGCCATTTGACGTAGCCCATAGATACGCCAACAGATAGGACCACCACGTAAGTGGCAAGAGTAACGACGATTTTGCTAACAACGCGCTCTAGGGCTGGCTTTTTGGCTTTTGGGTGCTTGTTGGCGTTCATGCGAATCTTGCAGTCCTCCCCAGTGTTGATTACAAGCCCAATTGCTGTGTTCGTGTTGCGAACAACACTTCCGCGATATATGACCTCATTTGAAGTCAAGGGCACAGTCTTTTCGCCGACTGTCACGCGACCATCAAAATTGTAGAGGTCAGGGTTTGGGTTCTCAACGACAAAATCAGCCTTGCACTTGGAAATTCCCTCGATCGTGTCGCAGCCTTCCAAAGCGGGCGTGACCTGCTTGCTCTTGAGATTGGTCTCTCCATCGAGAGCCATGGTTTCGATGTACGCCAACTTGTTCTCCCCATCACTGTGTAGCAAGACAAGGTCTGCAGGAATAGGCTCGTCTCGGCAGAGTCTGATAATGTCTCCAACCTTGATCTCGCTCCATCTCACAGGAACCCAGCGCAATCCATTAAATTCTTCCTGTGGTACGGGATGCGGTTCAGCCGTCGAATGGGTCAAAAACAGGTTAAACTTCGTCCACTTGTTAACTGGTTGTACCTTTCCCGAGTATTTGTCTTCTCGCCCAAGCACTGTGGCGAAGCCAGCGTTCTCGATTTTGTCCAGACGATACCTTCGATAATCATCGTAACCCTCTTTAACAATTGTTAACATCACAAAGAATAAAAGCGGTAGAATAGTAGTGTAGGACCCGGTCGTCGAAAGGCCTGGGACCTGGTGTGGCTGTTAGCAACAAGTCCATCCTTAAGATTCTGCTTATACACACCATCTGCGGTATACCAACGCAGAGGAAGTAAAAGTTTCCAACGCGAGAGAACTGAAAGAAAAGTTGCTTCGGTATAAAGTCCCATACTGTATATCTTGACGTTCGGATGCTGTTCGAGACATACGCAAGACCACGACGAGTATCGATTAAAGGGGTTTCGTGTTCGAGTTCGAGAGGTATGCGCCGTCCATCAGTCGACACAGTAACATGCTTGCGACGCAGAATAAGTTCAACAACGGTCTTCTGATATACATCTGCAGCACCATCCTTTATGCGATTGACCAATGGTGCGGAACGGCCGGCACCACTGTTGCGACGACGAACATTGACCTTTGAACTGGCTTTCAGTGATTCAGGGCCTGATGGCACCTCGGAGCCAGAATGGTCTTGGAACATGACGGCTTGGCGAGGGGGTAAAACGAGTGTATTGAGGTTTTCTTGGCCGACATGCGGGATGTTCGCTGACGTCGCGATGGATTGGTTGGGCGTGATCGGTCGATTAACTTGAAACGAGTGACTGTTGTTGCTGTATTTCCTGCCCTGACCCCAATTGTTCAACCATGGGGTAATGGTCTCTGCCCAGGGGAGAGAAGGACAGCTGAGCAAATCAAATCATGAGTGAGAATGGAAGGGATGAAAAGGTGGTTGATCTCGATCTGGAGTAGGAATTTTGCCCTGCCTTGATTTGGTGGTGGCGTGTCTGTGTCAGGGTTGTTTTGTCCGATGGATGCCGGCTAGATAATAATAAGGATAAGCTTATACGAGGTGGCTGACGCGTTGTAACGGGAATAAACGATTATGAATTTAGATATGAATTTAGTTTATCATGATTCGAGAAGGCTATTTGGATGGGTGTATTGATGTTATGACAAGCTTTACAAGTAAAGGGATAAAATATGGGGAGTACGCGCGGAGCGTGGAGGCCGAACGGGAGGCTTCTGCTCTATGTCTCAATCTGGAGGAAGTCTTCAACAGAGTTTATGACTATTTTAATCTGATAAACTTTTGTGATTACATCTATGCGATTCTAAGCAAAAGTTGACTTAACAAATTGGTTAGGACTTCTAGAGAGCTTGATTAGAAAGTTGGGATTGAAATCTCCTTATCCGATTTACAGTTGGCCGTAAATCCAGGTTCTCTCTCAACCGTCATAGTGGATCGTGAAACTACCTATAGTCTACCGAGACGATCATCAGCAAGTATCAATCTCATCATCCGCCAACCATTAGAATTCTGTCATTCTATCATTGTATGGTCAATTTATGTCCTTTAAGCTTAATTTCATATACTCTTTGAGAGGTTGAGAAATTGCTATTTATATCTTTACCACCCTTTCTCGTACCTGAGAGAAAATCCATAAGTCACATCATGGGAAATATCAAACCCCAATTCCTTATGTGACACTCACTTATCACAATTATATGATGCAATCTCGCGAAAAGAATAGGTATGGATATCTTTCCGGATCTTTCTTGAACCCCGAGGCATCAACTCGGGCTTTTAACGACCCACACATCAAGGATCTTCAGTTGCAGCGAGCCCTGGCTCCCTCTCCAGACCCCCTTGTTGGACCGCTATTGCCTGATTTCGTGCCGTTTCGCTTGTGATTTTTTTTGCTTCTTCCGCTGTCACTTGTGCAGCTACCCGTAGTACACTACGAGTGCGTCGAGCAAGGGTTATCGACAAATCCAATACGTTGAGTATCTTGGCTTTTGGCATTTGCTCATATGTTGCTTTGAGAACCATCTAAGTTGTAATTTCAGTATATATGTTGAATACAATTAACTTTATTATACTCCTGCCTGTCAAGCACCGGAAAACAGGTTGCTGCATATAGCTTCATCGTCCCCTCGCATCAACTTTTATAAGCACAACAATGCAGAACAAAAAAGCAGATAGCCTCCCACCATTTTCGGTTGTATTAACCATTTTGCCACTCCAATTCAAGATGCCTCCCAGATGAAACAACGAAAAACGATCTTTGCAAAAAAAAAAAAAAAAAACAGATAGCCACACCCAATTTTTGACATTCGCTGAAAAGACAAAGAAAATGCGCCCTGAAGATCCAAACCGTTTTCTGATGCATGCGTAAGCCTCCGAATTGTATCGAGTTTCCCTATTTGATCGTGATCTTTTTGGAAGTTCCTCTAAAAAGGTACCGGTCCTGTTGGTAATATGTATCATGCCGTTGTGGTCTGAACCTTTGATCTTTTGCCCCTTTAGTGCACTCCCGTGTGCTCAAACAGGGCCCGGATGGCGTCGTTGTCCATTTTGGTCTCAAGCGCGAGTTGGAGTTGGATCCTCGCTTTTTGGGGGTTCAGGAAACCAGCTCCGATTCCTGCCTGACAGGGTCCCACGAAACCGCCTTCTGGCCGACGGCTTACTATCACGGGGATGTTGGTTTCATGGACTATGCGTCGAATCTCCTCCGTGCCTTTGGAAGTCCAAAATCCAGCTCCTAGGCCTGCGAGGACGATACCTCGTGCGCCGAGATCAACGGCCGCCTTGAACATGCCGACGCTGAGCTCCTGATAAGCGTAGAGGATGTCCACTTGAGGCAGTGCTGATGATCGAGGTCCGGACTGTAGTTTGAAATGGTGGTGGCCCAGAGGTCGTGATGGCGGATAAAAGAAGACGGGCTGGATATTGACAAATGTTCCCAGTAAGCCGCTATCCGGAGCTTGAAAAGCATCGAGATGGTTGGCGTTCACCTTTGTCGTGAAGCGAGCAGATCCAATGCGGTCGTTGATGGCAATCATGACTCCCCTGCCTCTGGCGTTCTCACTAGCAGCCAAAGTCACTGAAGATAACAAATTCATGGGCCCATCAGCGCTTATGGCCGTTGCAGGACGCATGGAACCCGTCACAACCACAGGTTTATCGCTCTGGATCGTGAGATCGAGGAAGAAAGCCGACTCATCCAGAGTGTCAGTTCCGTGCGTCACAACAGCGCCTTGTGTAGAAGGACTGTTGAGATCACGCTGAATTTGCTCCGCCAGCGCTTGCAACATGTCTGAACTCATGTCTATACTGTCTGTGTTGGCGAATTGAACGCCTCTCACGTTGGCAACATTGCACAGCTGTGGCACCGCATCAATGAGAGATTGAACGGTCAGCGCAGCTGATTGATATCCCGTCGTTTGGTCAGCTGAACTAGCAGATCCAGCGATAGTGCCCCCTGTAGCATAGATGGTAATATTTGGAAGATTCGGACTGAAGCAGTTAAACTCAGGGGTAGTTGAGATTTCAAAGGGAACACCAGTCTGTATTGGCGCTTTTTGTAGTGCTGAGAAGTGTGGTTGAAGATACAGCTCCTGAACAGGAGGGCCCAAGACCGAAGCGGCCCATGAGCCAAACTGGAGCAGCGCCGTTGAAGGGGCCAACACACTCAGGATAATTCGCCACAGGTAAGTCGTCCAAGAAGCCGATGATGAAGCCATCTTGATGGTCGACGAAGCAGCTGGTCCAGAGCAGTAAACAGGAGCAGTAGCGACCAAGGCGCGGCCGTGAAGCCGTTTAAAGCTGGGCATCATGATGTGTGATTCTTGAGTCTTTAGTTTAGACTTCCAGTATACTACCGTGGGACGCTTGTCCTTCTTTCTCGCCAGTCAAGGTCCAGCCTCAGGAAAGTGAGAGAGGGAGATTTAGATAACTATGAACCCAGCAGCGAATGTCCCATTCTTGTACTGCGCGTATGGCTAACTTAATCCATTTGCATTGGATTGTCTGTTTACAGTACAGTACAATTATTAGTCAATTTCTCCAACCTCGAGCTTCTGCTTCTGAGCACGGTGCATCGGCCCGTCAGACGAATCGCAGTCTATCTTACGACCCGTGACACTGAGCAGGGTATAGGCGTGGTCTGACATGGTTGCATTTCACGCATTTTTTGTTCTGCAGCAGCAAACAATTGATGAACTTCGCACCTCGTCCCTCGGCAAGGCCCTGGTGGTGATTGCATTTCGCGCCATTAGCCCAGGGTTCTCGTCCACTAAACATGGGGGAGCGGAGGGGGGGTCCCATGCTGTTATGGGGCAGACAACGGCTATGGAGAAGGGCATGAGCATGGGGGTAGGCAACGCAGACGGAATATGATGGATCAGTGCGAGTGGGAGTTGTAGTGAGTGGGTGCGTGCATGTGGTGGTGGTGATAAGTACAGTAGTGGATGGAGGGATGTGATGTGCAGTAGGGGAAATGGCTGAATAGCAGCCGAGAGAATGACGATTGCTGCAGGAAATATGTAGATGCCTTGCCTATTACGAGGTCATACTTTGGTGCTTATGTATGAAAATACCTTAAACATCCGCTGGTGTATCGTAAGTAAGTGAATCACCCTGTATGCAGCTATTCTGTTTTTTACTCAAGCCAAGACAATGACAGCCTGGTCAACTCGGCTCCGACAAGGGTGTCACTGGCACTTTGGTGTGCTCAAGGATGTTCGATAACTAATGAATGCCCTCCTGACAATTCCACGATTATCCGGTCCAGTCCAAATCCACCCTTACAGGTTTAGGTTCATGGTTTTATCAACGTTGCGTTGCGTTGCGATGCGATGCGTTGTGTTGTTGGCTTTGGCTAAGCGGGCATGCAACTAGAGTAGACGTGCGTAGCAAACAACATAATTATTATATTGACTCGTGACATGGCATGCACAATATGAGTACGTCATGCTATCAATGTCTCTTTTCTTGTCTTTTTATGTATCTTCTGAGTCAAGAGAGTCAAAATTCAAAAATAAAAACCTGGCTATCACACTTTATTACCTATCAAACATGGCCCAAAGCAGACACGACACTGCAACGCCAAGGTTACTCTGCACAAGATGCAAGACACACATGCACTGCACATGCTGTACAGGACAGCAACAGTTACAGGGTTCTCATTCTCTTTCTATCTGTGGGGCTTCCTAACCTGGCTTCTCATCCGATGCCCCGTAGACCCATTAGCCATGCCGTCTGAGGCAATTCTAAACATCCATATCCATACAGATACGGCATCTTGCCTTAGCCTAGCTTACAACACATGCCACTTTATTCCGGCGGCGCATTAGCATTGTATATGCCAGCATCATCTTGATCCATCCGGTCCTTCTCTAGCTGCGCTTCTCAATTCAGTGCTGCTGGCCCGAGTCTTTGCACCAGTTGGTCTTTTGCTTGAATTCCGGATTCGTTCACACCACTCGAGTACGATGGCGCAACACCATCTTACAATTCACATGATGTTGCTGACACGCACCTCATCAACTATGTACCCGAGTCTTTTTCATAGGTAGCTAGAACCTCTTGAAGGGCTGATTCCTCACGTCACACATACATATGGGAATAGCAGCGAGACATCCGGTGCTTTCTTCAGCTTCAGCTGCTGCATACCCTTATGCACGTACTAATACATACGCTGTGACACGCAAGGAAACAGCCTGCAACCTGCATCGTCAACCCGTAGAATGCCAAGACTACTATCAAAGGGTCCTCAGATCATAAAGAACGAACAGACCCCCCACGGCAAAAATCAAGCCTGGCTCTTGTTTCATAAACCCGGCCGGGTATATTGTTCCTTTTGTAGAGTAGAGGAGACTTATCTGCCCCGTCGAAGAAACATCAACAGCGGATCTGCATTAGAGCACATCCTAGCCTTCCAATAACGCTCTAGAGTGTAAATTTTCTTTCTTTTTCCTTGAAGAATGACAGGCAGCGATCCAAGGTCCCTCCCGCGGTTTCACGGCATTCCCGCCCCATCTATTCCCACCGCTGACGACAACTCATGCCGGCACTCAGAAGAGGCAATGCCAACTAGTTGCCAAGGGATTACAAAAATAAAAATAAAAGGTCTGAGTTTTACTGAGTTTACTTTAAGTTTTCAAGGCAGAACATCATTATATCTTCACAGACTTCCTTGGTTTCAATGTTTGTGTAAATTCAATACGCTGCTTACGGTCCACTCCGGGACTTCGCTATGTTTAGAAAAAGAGTAAGAAAAAAATACAAGGCGGCAATTTCTTAATAACATCCTTTAATGCCGGAACAACGTCATTCTAGACCATGATAGCACATGGAGCTCTAATAGCACATGGGCGCTCCTATGCCGCAGTAGCCGGTGCGAGCTTCTCCATGCTAGCCCCTCCCTCGAACCACTCCTTCGTGATGAGCTGCTCGCGGGCATGGTACAAGTGTTTGTAAGCAGTCTTGACTGTACCATCGCTGACACCCGCCTGCTTGGCTATAGGTAGTGAGCTGCGCGATTCTCCAACGATCTGGCACGCCATGTAGATACATGCTGCGGCAACGGATAGAGGCGATCGTCCTGCGAGTGCCGAAATGTTGTTGGCCCGCTCTGCCAGCAAGCGAGAGATCTTCGAGATTTTGTTCTGTTTCGTAAAACCAAGCTGAGACACATAACGACCGCAAAGATCCTCGGCACCCACTGATGTGTTTTCGTAGTTGGTGACTGTGTTGAGACCTGTGGCTTCGCCATCTTGCTCCTGCAGCTTCTGCAGAAAGCTCTGAAGTTGCTTGAAAACTCGGCCGACTTCCTTCTTGCTCACGCTAGTCAGGTTGAAGATTTCACGGAAGGTTCGAGGCACGTTGTTCTGCCGGCACGCGATGAAGATGCAGCCTGCAATCACAGCCTCTTGGGGTTTTCCCTTGAGGAACTTGTGCTTGTCCACGAGCTTGAAGATGTGCTTTGCAGCGTTGGATACGTTCGTGCCCATATTGATAGCTTCGCAGTAAGCAACAATCTCCTTGTAAGCTTGCATGAGGCCCTTCTGTGATTTGTCTTGGTTGGTGTTGTTTTGCGTCCTGGATAAAGCCTTGTGTGCCTTGGTCTCGGAAAAGGCTACAGTTGTCGCGAGTTGCTGACCCTCGACAAATTCATCCTGCGGGCCACCAACACGGCTGGGGTCGTCACCTCCCTGATCGTCGTTTGCAAAAGTTCGCCATTCTGATCTCGTATCAATGATTCTTGAGCCGACTACCATGCCGCAGTCTTCGCATACTGTATCACCGCTGGAGAACTCCTCGACTAGGTGGGGCGGACTGATGTTGCACTCGGGGCATACTAGGATGTTACTGAGGTCTTCCTCAAAAGCAGGCGCATCGCTGCCGTTAGGGGGCATCATTTGAGGCGGCACGTTCTGCCGTTTAGGTTGATGAGGATGTTTTGTTTGAAAACGAGATGCGGCGAAGTTAGGTGAGGAAGGGCGCTTTGTCCAATGGATTGTATGATAAGAATGACTAAGCGAGCTCTGACTGCGATGGCGTTTAGGCTCCAGACCTTGGGTAGGTAGGCAGCTTGATTAAATACCTTACCTGGCACAGCCCAGCTTCTGAATGAATCACAAAAGGAAAAGATTAAGGACAGTTATTCAGGTTGCGTTCGAAAATAAATAAATAAGATCGGCATTCAGTGCTAGAGTTCATAAGTGCGTACTGAAGAACAGGTGGTAGATTAGTACCTAGAACTACTTACGTGAGCACGTGATCTCTTTGTTGTTGCTGACAGATTCTGCAGAACCTTGGGGAAAGTTTACAAATTTTATTATTCCTACAAAGAAACCTTGAACAAATAAAGCTTCGAAGCAAGTTAGCTTGTTTTGTTCTCATACCTAGGCTTGGCTTGATTACTCCGTGATACTTATTCGTCCCTGCCTATTTAGGTACCTATGTAGGTAGTCCCTGAGCTGTCGATGCTTTGTCCTGAGCCTGACAGGCCAACTCAAACATGAAACTTACCCCAGACTTGATGATTCTGGATACGGATGCGCACATCTGTTTCCCCGGGCGGCCATTGATTCTTTTCACTCCATTCACCACAAATCTCTGGGTCGTCCCAAGCAAGCGTAGTCATCGCGACCTTAGGTAGGTACCCGAATATAGTAATACTTTGTTCCAGCCACGGCGGGGACTGTTCCCTGCCAAGACTTTAAGCTACTAGACTGTAAGCTCTCCCTTCGACGTCATTCCTTCAAGCTGTTTTTCACTTAAGGTAATTCGGGTAGTTCATCTCATGAAGTGTTGTCGAAGTTAGTCTTTGGTAATAGTAATACCGGTCTTGGCTCATATTTTAGCAGATTAAGATATAACCTCATCTCTCTATGTTAGATTTCATGGTACTCCATGATTAGGCCCATCATGAAATGTCTCTTTATTTTGTCCTCCTCCATCAACGATGCGCTAGAGTTTCTATTGTCCGAGGTCGGCCAATCATCAAGTGCCGAAGGACCACTCCGCAGTACGTACTTTCGACTCATTCACAAGTTGAGTCACTAGAACAAACATCTCAACATTAAACAAAGAAGAGTGATTCCCCGATCAACTCACCCACTGTGCTTGTTCGATTCTCTCCACCATCACTCTCTATCCAGGCCTCCCGGTCGTTCTAGCAAAGCACCAAGATGGCATCTCAATCCCAAGACAGTCGGCAAAATGCCCTCCCACCTGTCAATATCAAGCCTCTTCTCACCAAGCTCTGGCCTAACGAGTCTGCTGTCTCTCCTCAGGAGATTGCCGAGGCGATCTCACACTTTTTCACAAACCAGGTCACCGAGGCTCAAACAGCTTCTCTTCTCATGGCATTGCATTTCACAAAGCTTGATTTCAGAGCTGATGTTTTGGCTGAGTGTGCCCGTGTCATGCGAGAGGCTGCTGCACCTATTCCTGTAGAGGAGCTCAAGGAAGTCATTGAGCGAAGAGGGCGAAAGGAGGGAGGCTACAACGGTGGATTGGTAAGTAATCGGACCAAGTCTACTTCATTAATGAGCAATTGCTAACATAATCTCAGTGTGACATTGTTGGAACTGGAGGTGATGGCCATGATACCTTCAACATCAGCACCACCTCATCCATCCTGGCCTCAGCCTTGCTCATGGTTTCCAAGCACGGTAACAAAGCCAGCACTTCAAAGTCTGGCAGTGCTGACTTGGTCGCTTGCATGAAGCCTCAGCCTCCTATCATCAGCGCCGTCCGCCCTGACACTTTGGTCAAGGCTTACTCTGAGACTAACTACACTTTTCTATTTGCCCCTGTGTTCCACACTGGCATGCGCTATGTCGCACCCATACGCAAGCAACTCCCCTGGAGGACAGTTTTCAACAACCTCGGCCCCTTAGCCAACCCTGTTGAAGATGTCCTTGAAGCCCGTGTAATTGGTGTTGGCCGAAGGGATCTTGGCCCGGCCTTCGCTGAGGCGCTGTGCATGGCTGGGTTCAAAAAGGCTCTCATCATCTGCGGCGAGGAAGAGCTTGATGAAGTCAGCTGCGCTGGTAACACTCTATGCTGGAGGGTCAACGAGACCAGTGCTGGAAGGCTCGAGGTTGAGCACTTCACCGTGCACCCGAGCGACTTTGGTCTGAGCACCCATCCCCTGGATACAGTGTCATCTGGTAAAGAACCCTCCGAGAATGCACAGATCTTGTCTCGAATTCTGCACAACGAGTTGCCTGACGATGACCCGATTCTTGAGTTTGTTCTCCTCAACACTGCGGCTTTGCTCGTCACATCAGGTATCTGCGAGTCTGATACCAGCAACATGGGTGAGGGGGATGACGGCAAGGTTATCACTGAGCGCGGCCCTGGTGGGCAGCGCTGGAAAGAGGGTATTCGAAGAGCTCGCTGGGCTCTCAAGAGCGGTGAAGCCTGGAGACAGTGGGAAAAGTTTGTCAAGGTCACAAATGAGATCGGCGCTTGAGATAGGAATATATTATTACGACTGAAAATGTCATCATACATAAAGGCTTCATTCTCATTACACCTCTGACATGCCAAAGATCTTTCCCGTCTTCTCAACGCCGCTGCTCCATGGTATAAATAATTCCAGTCTTTGTATAAAGTTATGTAGAGATACGCTGGTATATGTGTCGTGATTGTGGGTTTTGCTTCATGGTCCATGCTTCATGCTTTGAGCTTGTTGTATTTAAAAAGCCCTTCCTATTGCTGGCGAAGCTGGGCTTGTTGTTGATGTTGATGTCGTTGGTGAAAGAGGAGAGTAGGGGTTTGTTGAACTTGATGAGAAAGATTGTGGTTGAGGTCGGGACGAGGAGGATCCTGCGTGAGTCTGTATTCTCGAGCGATCGACTCCTGGGTGGCTTCGCATCAGTGTTGATTTGTTTCGCTGAATATCAGCTTCGTATGCTTTCCAGTCAGTCCTGAGACTTGTGTTGCGATCTTCTTCTTCAGTGTCGTTCTCATCTTCCTGTCGCACAGTCGCTCGTGAAGAGGCGCGACTTTGTAGTGACTTTCGAATTATCTTAGATCGCTGAAAATCTTCCTTTTCGTTCTTTTCTAGCCCTGACTTTGTGCGCTTCTTCTTGCCGAGAGAGAAAGAAGGAGATCGTTCTTCACGTTGGTATTGGCGTGGTTTGACCCACGAGTATAAATAACTGAGAATAGGCATGATGATACGAGAGGAAAACAAAAGAAAGAGAACGAATGAGAGGACGAACAAGAGATCGATAGCCGGCCAGTTGCCTACTTTAATATTTTGACAGAAGATATCGGTAATTATAATAAGATTTCAAGCCTTCCGTGAATGGGCGGGGATATCCTGGGGAACCACATGCCATGAATGGATGATCCTAGGAACGGGTAAACGGTTACGTGCCGTGCAATGCCACGTAACTACGGGGAGGGTTATGATATGTTAGTTCATGGCAGAAGCTCTGTTATCCGTAGGCCAAAGGTTAGTTGATCTTTGCCCTGGCTGGACTGATCTGTGTATGGTGTGGTTAAGGGCGCACAGCGGCTCGCACACTTGAGGCGCGGTTCTATAAATGGGAGTGAGCCGGGGTCGAGTGATTGATATATCTTTCAGGGTCCAAGACAAGGTCTCTTCACGAGCAAAGACGCTTAATTCTGGTTGATGGAATTGACAAACGGTTAGTTCAGGTCACGGCATGTTTCAGGTCTATCTTTGGAGTAGATCTCTTCCGAAGTCCGTTTCTAGACTTCCATCGATGCATGAAATCACGATAGAAAAATAGAAGCATGGGACGGCAAGCAAGGATCCAAATCCCATGGCTATTTCAGAATGCAAAACTCAGCAGCCAAGACCAAACCACAAGCCCTGCTATCCCCAATGGGAGCAACCCCCAAGCACCAATACGAGCCGGTGGTGGCTATGTCGAGCCTATAATCGGACGAGATATTGACATGGACAAGACTTTGAACGGGATGCAGCTAGCGATTGGAATTTAATGTGAGACACAACATGATAAAAATCTATTACATAACGACGGTACAACAGAATCTTTACAGGCTCAGCTGATAATTATAATATCTTGCGGGTTCAAGTTGAGAAAGAATCTTTTCGTGAGGGTTCACTTTTCGCTGAGAGGGGAGTGTGGCTGAAGCATCACCAGTTTGCTACTAAGTTATTGATCGACAATGCTGCGCCCGACTGAGACGTATTACACTGTCGCAATCTCACGGGCTCAGTCCTCTGGAAAGAACTGTAACCATTAAACACTGCTCATATTCTTCTAACGGTTATCGTGCCTTCAAGCCTCATGGGTACCGATCAAATCCAAGCAGACTAATTTGAGCCAGGCCCTGGATATGAACCTAACGATCTAGCAGCATGACCTTCTGAATACAGCATGTTACACACCTTCTCATTCAACCATATGGAATGGTCTTGATAACTTCTTCTTTGGTGATTAGCTCACCATCAATTACACGGCGAAACTCCAACGTTGCCGATAATGCGAATACATATTGTCAGCCATCAATTAAACCCAGGTTCACATCGTGATCAATTACCACATGGAGACCATCGCTAATCGTCGGAGCCGAGAAGCTCCAGCAACGGCAAAATGTCACTCGGCACCGAATGCATACTGATTGGCCATCTTCCCCAAAAGCCGAGGTGCAATCCCCGCATGAAGCTCTTTGTTAAAGCTCAATTAGACTACAAGCTCAACGCACAATTCCGAACTCCCGTAGCTACCCATCCGGTTCCGATGACCGGTATCAACATCTCAAGTATCAGTCTATATACATATCTACATACCGTTGCACAAGGTCTTGAGTCTCGCGACTCAGTTGCTTAACTTGGTTCATATTTAGCTCTGCCAAGCTGACAGTCTGCTGAGGATGGGCTTGTTCCTTGCTGCTCGATCCCTGAGGTCTAAGCCCGTCAATAGCTGTGCACATGGACTGCGCCGGTACTCAAGTGCCGTAAAAACCGGACTCCCCCTTGAGGGCATTCGCGTGCTGGACATGACCCGAGTTTTAGCGGGCGTAAGTCGAGCTCTTGCATGAACATTGTTGACAAATGCTGACCTTCATAGCCTTATTGTACTCAGATTTTGGGTGATCTTGGGTAAGTCTACTAATGTCATCAATTACCCTCGCCGTTTTAACATGGCCGAATGCGCAGCGCTGAGGTGATCAAGATCGAGCATCCTGTTCGCGGCGATGATACCAGAGCTTGGGGACCTCCATATGCCAAATACAAGGATGGGTCCTCTGCCAAAGGCCCTGGAGAGTCTGCCTACTTCTTGGGGGTAAGTTTGTGCCTCATCTATACTGAACTTGTCTCATAACGTCTGCAGGCAAATCGGAACAAAAAGTCATTGGGCTTGTCCTTCCAACACAAAGAAGGAGTCGATGTTCTTCATAAACTTGCTGCAAAATGCGACGTCTTGGTCGAGAACTACCTCCCCGGAACTCTAAAGAAGTATTCCATGGACTATGAGACCCTGCGCAAGATTAACCCAGGTCTCATATATGCCTCTATTACAGGCTATGGCCAAACAGGGCCGTATTCCAACCGCGCTGGCTACGACGTTATGGTTGAAGCTGAATTTGGTCTGATGCATATTACTGGAGAGCGGGACGGCCCTCCAGTCAAGGTTGGCGTCGCGGTAACTGACCTGACGACTGGTCTCTACACCAGCAACAGCGTTATGGCGGCGCTTCTGGGACGGGCCAAGTCAGGAAAAGGTCAACATATCGATGTCGCACTGAGTGATTGCCAAACAGCGACATTGGCCAACATCGCCAGCAGCTGTTTAGTTAGTGGAAAGAAGGATTCTGGCCGCTGGGGCACAGCTCATCGTAAGTCTGAATCTCCCGAAAAAGAATATTAATGCTAACTCAGAAAGCTTCCATTGTCCCATACAAGTCTTTCGAGACCAAAGATGGGGGTATTCTGTTTGGTGGAGGCAACGATCGGCTGTTCGGTGTTCTCTGCGATGGTTTAGGTCAACCGCAGTGGAAGGAAGACGCGCGATACAAAACCAACGCTGATAGAGTCGAACATCGAAACGATCTAGAGGCCAAGATTGAGGCAATTACAAAACTCAAGACAACCCAAGAATGGCTTGAGATCTTCGAAGGCAAGGGTATGCCCTACGCTGCCATCAATGACGTCCAGGGGACGCTCAACCACGAGCATACAAAGGCCCGCAACATGGTTGTCGAGATGGAACACGACGAGTGCGGCCCTCTAAAAATGGTCAACACACCTATAAAGCTGTCGGAAACTCCTCCAACGATTCGCAGCGCGCCGCCTATGTTGGGTCAGCATACTAATGAAGTGCTACAAGAGCATCTTGGGCTGAGTAAAACTGATATTACTGCATTGAGAGAAAAGGGAATCGTCGGATAGAACACGTACAGATAAATCATGAAGCGCGAAAAAGAAAAGAAAAACACTTGAGTACTTCAACTTCCAGGTCTCCAGCTGTTTTAGTGGTTGTGAACAATGGCAGGAACTAAACTGAACACCCAGGGTGGTTCTTGCCTTGCTTGATGAAAGTACTCCACGTGACCACACGTGTCACTGATTCGAATTGAACATCTCACTTTGCCATCTAAATTCATTGTTTCCAATTTCAACAATAGTTGACTTTGGCAATCCCGTTCTCAAATAGCTCTTATTCCATATGGCAATCAGCCCTGGAACAGGACCTTCCTCTCATTTTGCAGTCTTTTTTACAGTTTTGGACGTTGACTGTTCCGCGACAGTTACGGACTTTGACATCAGCCCACGAATGATCACTAACAAACCATCTTAAAGAGGACGAGAATATACATGATGGACCAAGACACACAACAATTACGCGTCGAATCCCCGAAATCCATTGATCAAGATGTCACGATGGAGGGCATGTCTGTCAAAGATGTCGTTTCAATGCCGCCGGCACCAAAACTCTCATACACACTCCAGTTCTCATCAGAGAGCTCAGTCATCCTGAACCGTCTCAAGAGCGATTCCCAAACAGACGGTAATGGGAATGCCAGAGAGAACGTCGTCGCGCACTTGAAAGACACATTGACTATGCCGACACCTACTAAAGCCAAAGGCCAATCCTCACTATCACTCTCTCTCAATGCAGGTGTGAAACGAAAACGAGAAGAGCCGTCGGAAAAGATTGATCTGACTCAAAGTACTATCCCTTTCCCATGGAAAGGCCCCTCTCCAAATCAAAAAGCTACTATCGAGGCTCAGCATACCAGGGAGGAAACCCGATGTTCAATGTGTGATGGTTCTGCTCAAGTTTCCTCCTTAGTCACATGCATCAGATGTCTTGCATCTTGGCATCAAAAGTGCCATTCTCCTTTGATCAGGGATGAGGATATGTCTTCTGCAAACTTCACCTGTGCGGGCTGCATTGCGGGCAGAGAGCAGACAGTCAAGCTCAGAGGCAGAGTTAGCCAGCAGCGGCAACATGAGATCGATCGGCTTCGACGAAAACGTCTGTCTGCTCTCCCCAAGGGCGTTGTTCCTGCAAAACCTCATCTTGTGGGGTTTGGTGCTGGCCGGGCTTCGGATATCTCAGTAAGTACTACGACACTCGAGAAGGATAGCATGACTCACGTTACGATAGCGAGCAGAATACTTTGAATCGATGCCAAAGACGGATCTCCTTAACATTTTATCGTTATGCGATCAGCTGAAGCCAAACCTTCTTGTTGATGTACTTGTATCAATCTCAAAACGGCATCCTGAAATGCCCATGTTCGATTCGCCAGACTGGGTCAGTCAATTATTAAACACCTCTCGCCCTCCTAAAACAAAGCATGACGAGAAACCTCGACATGGTCATGTCCTTGTCAACAGAGCAGCAAAGCCGAAGCAAAAGACTACGAAGAAGATCCTCAAACGCACTCGGGTCATAGAAGTCATTACAAGTGCGCCAGAGGAAGATAATGTTGATATTCTGCCGCCAACTTGGGCAAAGGCTGGCCAGGGGTTATACTCCCAATTACTACCTGACACGGAAGACAGGTCACTTCTCATGGATGAGAACGACGAAGAATCGTTCAGTCACTTTTTGGTCGATGGAGCTGGGCGTCAGATCATGGAACCTGTGGGTGCTTAATGGGAAAAGAGCAGGCGCTGGTTTTTTTTTTTTTTTTTTTGGTTTTTGGTTTTTGTTGGTGGTCCTCTTTCAGCTAATTCGGGAAAAGGTTCGAAGTCAGTTTAGACCTAGGAGTTGTTCAAGGGAAATCTCATTCATTAATAATCATCACTAAACACAAACTCAAGGCCGAGGAAACATGATGCGTTCAAGTTTTAGCGTTATCATATGAATTATTTAATTTTGTGATGAGAAACAGAAAACATCGAGACAGACGAGTGGGATTATCCGGTAATCCCCATCAAAGAAAAACATTCCAGTTCCAGGTCATCCTCCATCCATTACATATTACACCGTGAGTACCCAACTATTCGTCCATATCATTTTTGGCCGCTTAGCAGTTGCATCCGAAGATACCCTTGAGGCTGACGTGGATGCTAGCGACGATGCGAATGAGGCCCTGGATCTTGAGAGAAGCACAAGCTCCGACCTTGTTGACAAAGAGAACGGTGTCCTTGACAATGCAGAAACCAACGAGACCGTTGACGTAGCCACCGATGCTACCACGGACATCGACGTAGTTCTTGCAGCCCTTGGAGCAGTAAGAGACACAGTCATAGACCTGGCAGTTGCCGAGACCGAGGAAGCAGGTGATGCTCTTGACGAAGTCAACAACAGCGTAGACGAGACCGCCAGTGACGCTGCCAGGGCGAACAGCATATCCGTACTTGTTGGTGTTGAAGAGGGCGACGGCATCAGCGCTGCTCTCGAGGTAGAGACCGGCAAGACCACCACAGACAGTCTTGAGGCTGGCGCTCAGCTGGCCCTTGACGTTGATGGCAGCACCGCCATAGAGAGCAACCTCGGCGCCAATGGAGAGAGGAGCAAGGAAGACAGTGTTCTTGAGGCTGGCCTAGCAGTAGGCGTGCTTGGTATCGTACTTGACGATCTTGTAGGGAGAAGCAGCACAGTAAGTGCCGAGCTTGACGTCAACACCGGCGCTGGCGTAGACACTGGCGCCGGGCTTGGGCCAGCAGCCGGAAGCCTTCTTACCAGCGCACTTCTTGGCCTTGCCATCCCAGGACTGGCCAGGAGGGCATGAGCAGGCCTTGGTCCAGGGGCAGTAGGACATGGCACCAGGGCAGGAGAAGGTGGTGCGAGCCTCAAGGTTGTTGGAGTCGGAGCGGATGGTGAAGTCGCTAGAGGAGATGTTGGATGTGGTGTCGAGGAGGGCATCAGGGGCGGGGATGGCAGAAGCCATAGAGGCCATCGAGGCCAGAGTGACGAGGAAGTTGGAGAAGTACATTTTGATGATGTAGGAGATTTGGCAGTAAGATAGAGAGTGTTTATTTGTTTGAAATGGTTGTAAGAAGTGAAAGAATGTTAAATATGCCTTTGAGGCTTTGTTGAAGCGAATGTAAGCTGAAGAGGTTGATAGAAGAGAGAGATGCTGATGAGAAAGAGTTAATTGTACAGGATATCCAGACTGTTTATATAGCCATCATGAGTTCTTTCTATGAAGCCGAGGATATTTTTATCACATGGTCACTGCGAAGTCTTCAAGACGGCTCAGTCCTCAATGTTACATTACAGACTCCGTATTTCCCTGCTAGTCAGGCGATGCCGGTGATAGTGTCGAGAGGTCCAAGCACAAGCTGAGTCTGGACGTTTTTCGGCCAAGATCAAGCTGATAGATGGAGATGCTTGCGAGGGGCTAACCAGGAGTAGGCTGGTGTGAGTTCACGGAATGACCTTGGCTGGCTTGATATTCGATGTGCATGTTGTTGACGAGTTATGCAGACACTTGGGTACGGGCTGTTGGTCGAGTCTGAATTGTTGTCGAGATGAGGGGGCTATCATAGAGCTTCAGTGATATTATACTGAGAAGAAGCTCTGTCGTTGATATCCATAATACTGGTTATTGGGACAGACATTGTTGAGTCTTCACATTAAGCAATATATTACAGCAAGAACCGAGTCTCAATCTCAAACTTCACTCGATAAGCATAACTTAGTCCTCCATTGATCATCCCCGTTGAAACAAAGATCAAGTCCGTTCGACGTTCTGCCCACAAGTAAACTCCGATCGGAAGTCGGCTTGGTAAATTAGATTCCACCAAAAAGGAGGTTTACCTGCATAGTCACAGATACAATGTTTCATTTCTCGGGCCGCGCTGGTCCATCCAAGAAATCAGCTCACCACTTACCCAAAGAGGCAAAGCTATCACGACGAGGCGTTTCTTTAATTTAACCAACAGCATGTTTCAGGCCTGAGAAAGCTGCACTGCACAATTCAGCTGAGTTTTTTGTCCCGAAGGAAGATATCAAGGACTGGCCTTGGAGAAAACTGCAAGAGTGAGTTGTTTATGTGTCTCTATTTTAAGATGTGTGGGGATGTGGTTTATGTGATACAATTATATCCGAGGTTTATGGAGGAGGGGAGGCTTTTGGGGTTGTGGAGTTGAAACATTTGCTGGGATGTTTTGACCTTCGGCAGATCGACAGTGTTTTCTTCCCTGTTGATGATTTTTTTCCCTGTCGTGATCTGTCAAGCTGAGGTTCTGTTCGGGTGCTTCCGATATCGTGCTATAGTAGAGCCAGTGTTATCATAGCAGCAACTTGGTAATGTAACATGATGACGTTGTGTTTTACAGCACGTCCAAACCTTCATGGTATTAGCTTGTAAACTCAATATGTGAGATCTCTTTCAAACTCAGCCCTCTGGGCAATTCTTCAGGGCGCATCATTGAGCTGCACCAGCCAAACCGCACGCATAAGTCTTGGTAGTGGATCATCAAAGAACAGCTACAGATCTAGAAGCAGTCTTTCTCCCAGAAGAGAATATTCACTTGCAGCTCCGAGGTTTCAGGCTCTGGTAGCCCATAGCTAAATAGCGGCTCATGCACGGTTCATTGTTGGTGGCAGCGGTGATGGCTTTAGCGATCGTTTCTGACTTAGGAGCTGGGTTTGTTTTAGTACATATCCACATGGACCATCCTTGTTGGCAATCATGTTCTGCGTTGTTTTGTTTCTATATGTCAATGGTTTAAGGTTTCTTCAGCACGCACCGTCAGGCGAGAGGACATGATTATTGACCTGAAGGGTTCTTGAGACCATGCTCTCGTGTTCCCGATGTTGACTGTACTACGTACTGATAGTTTTGAGTGTAAGTCATGACTCTTGAATGGGTCCCATGACTCCATCTTGGACAATGAACTATCGGCATCCACCAGAATTCCAAATATACCTTATTTGCGCTTATTTCCACCCGTAACACTGTTTCTCGGTGATTCCGCCCAAGTAAAGTAACACAGCACTAGATAAAAACAGTTTTATCAAATCTGAAGAAGCGATTGTGAGATAAATATGAACGCAGAATGCCCAACAAGTCAGACGCAGCATGCATCAGGTATTGAATCACACGACAGTGATAGAAGGGAAATACGAAAGTTACTATTGTCAGTCATTTAAGAGAACAAAGCAGTGTGTTCTCTTGATAATGGATGTCAGTTTTGTTCAAAAACTTCGAGAAGCATACCCTATACTCGCTGATCTAGCGCTTGATTGAACATACATGAAAGAGCATAAAATCTATCATCTGTCTATGTAAGTCATGCATGGTATCACATCAGCAATTTGATGCTGAAATACCCTCCTCCTAATATTAGGGCTCTTAACTACCAGATGAATAAATTCCCTCCTATCAAAGCCATTACTGTTTAATATAAACCAGGGATCCCAAGTGTTATTGAACTGTGTTTATCCTACTGCATTGTCTTGCGACCTGATCTAATCTATTACTAACCCGCCGACTTATTCAGTTAGATCTCAAGGTTTAAGGCAGCAGCTGTATGATCTGCTGAGACTTAATATTAAGGTTATTATGGTTTTTTTTTTTTTTTTTTTTTTTTTTTTTTTTTTTTGGGCGTAATATATGATACCTTATATTATATTATGTAAAAAAACAAACACTCTTATTGTGTTATCTTGCCTGTATACCTTTGGCCTCACTTTTTGTGCTGCTAGATTGGTATTTTGATATTGAAATAAACCAGGGATACTTGATGTACTCAGGAATCGCTTTACAAGTCCCCGCAACACTAAGAACTCGTAGGTTGAACTTATCATGGATTTATATTCGCATAACAGAAGCAGGTTCGATGTGGTTGATTCAAGAAAATTTATTCATGAGTTGTGGTCTTTGCCACATACAGATTGTTTTGCTTGCTCCTCTTGCCTGCCTTAGCACTAAAGACAAGAACATTACCTCCGCGTTTATACTCCGCTCTGTGTTCCAATATGTATGGATACTGCAGATGCAATAAATGGGATACGTGGTTCAACACATATCCCACAGCTTGTTCTTTCATTTTCCTCCTTCCAAACAACAAGGAAATTCATAACTCATGAGACCGAAACACAGGTCCAGCCTCGCTTTTCCAAAGCTATCTGCCGCGAGTTGAACCACCAGGGTCCGCTTCGACCCCTTCTATGTCCCCTGGTAGATAGCCATCGACGTCGAAGCATCTGTCGGTGTCCCCAGGAGCACATACGGGCCCAGCACTCGACAATTCGTTGAGACAGAACAACATGAACAAGATCCCATCCCCTATGACCAATTAGTCTATATCACTTGTTGCATGTTGAAGGGCACTTACAAGATAGCAGAGACGAGACCTAGTACAGGTGCACCAGTTTGTGAAAGAGGCAGGCCCCAGTACGTGTAGTCTGACGGGAACACGCTCTCCGCTGCAAGGAAACATACTAGACTGCCGAGAAGCACTGACGCTGTGAGTGTCCGGAGCAGGACTGCGGGACCGGACCAGGGTCTGTCGTGGTGCACGATAGACCACATGCCAAGGCCTACATCACAGGCCAGAGCCGCAATGAGAATAAACGCCTTGATGCTACAAATCTTAGTCAGTCTGTGGCTCTTACTATGATGATCTAGAGATGTGACGCATACCCATGGCTGGAAACTGCAGCTCCAGAATACGAAACAAGAAAGATGGCCAGCATCAAAATGACAAGCAGACATGAAACAATCTGCATAAAATCCACCGCGACCCTAACAGCTCTGACAACAGCACCCGCCGGCTCCTCAACTTCTTCAGGTAGAGGCGTAAGTAGCGGCGTGAGTTCCCTTGCAATTGGTGTAGTTGATAGCCGCGGGAGAGATCTCGGCCTCGTGACGATGCTGAGGTTCAGAGGTGGTGGTCGAGTTCCTTTACGCATGTCGTCGGTTTCTTCGGTGAGGAATGATGTGAGAAGGTTGATGCCAGTTGCTGATGTGAAGGTTGAGTAGGAATCTCGATCCCTTAAGTCGATGAACTTGCTAAGCATGAAGAAGTATAATGAGGTCAATGAGGTATAATGAATGAATGAATGAGATGGCGATTTGATCGGAGGCGTCGATAATGTTGTATTTGTAATGAGAGAAAGAGTAAAAGAAAAGAAAGAATGAATACTAAAACAATCAAAAACGAAAGAATAAAATGAATTGATCAAGAATAATGAAAGACCGAAAACAATGAGGAACAACCGAAATAATAAAAGAAGAAAAAGAACGAATTCAAGCGATGTTTTCTTGTCATGTCTTGACCTCTCCCTTTGGCGCGCGCCAGTTCCCATTCCATCCACAGCGCAAGGGGTTTTTTCTCCTCGTATCGTATCGATCTTCCGCTTAGAGGCCTAAACGCGGGCCTGAAATGCGTTCATCTGCAGGGGCACGTCGCACCACAACCACTGTTTTCAGTTGGCCACCGTCTAACCGCCGCAGAAAACAGTGGAACGCCCTTCTAATTTTGGTGTATCCCACCGGCTCTCTCGGTATCGAATGATGGCACTCTTTTCTTGGCGAGACGTGATTGGGTCCTGCGCTTGTTTCATGCCGATTGATATCGAAGCTTTTGGCGGTTGAAGACACGGGTTTTGACTGCTTTGGGCTGCCTCCTTGCTTAGATGCTACCACATGCTACAGCCTCTGACCTTCGCTACGCCGCAGGGGTTCGGGCGTTATCGTTATCTTGCATCATTGTTCAAGGATCACCGTGTTCATGCCATAACTTATCTATCTATCTACCACCCTCTGCTTTAACTCAATTCCGATTACCTCAGCTCAGACTTGCCTTTACGACTTCAATGACATGATCCATGCATAAAACACGCCGAGAAGAGGGTTAGCAGTCGATGAACTGCAAACACACGACTTCCAGTCAATGTTTGGCCCATGGTTGCATATGTCTCAGAAGTATCTGAAGAATCATCACTGCCGAGTTGTTCCCGTCATGTATACAGTATAAGCCACTTGACTCGAATATCATGTTGAAAGCACTGTCGTCCCTTTAACCTTTCCACTCTCCATCTTGGCCGTTCTCGCACCGAATTGTATCTGTTGCAGCTTATCAGTAGGAAGTCGTCGGAGCCAGATGGGCACTTACAGCTCGCTTCTTCTCTTTTGAAACAGAGCTCATGCCAAGTGATTGAGCCACTAGCCGCAACACTCTTTTCTCGGCGTCGAGATTTCCTTCACCACCAGGCGTTTCAAAATCACACTTCTCCCACACAGGAGACTCGATTGCCCACTTGACAAAACGCTCATCAAGATAGGGGAATCTCACTTCTCGACCCCAGTGTGCCATAACCCGGTCATCTCGACCGAGATTTCTCTTCCCAAGCCGACTGACGTCGAGCTTCAGCTCCTGTACAACTCCTGCGTAGCCACGATGCGTGTAAGCCACGCCGTGTCGACCGTATCCACCAAACAGCTCATCGGCACCCAGACCGGACAGCAACACTCGCGCTGTCGTGCTATAAGGCTGCGGATTTGAGTCGATGGTTGTTTCGCCAAGTCCTTGTCCTCTTGCAGCAAAGTATAAAGCACACGCAATGGACAAATCCATCTCTGTGTTGTGAGGATAGATGAGACGAATGACTTCAGCTCTATGCTCTAGGTTCTCAGCATAAGGCACGTTCACCTGCCTACTGTCAGTCATCTAGCCCGGGGTGAATCCAGGTTTACATACCGCCACAAACCGCCATGTCCTGCCGGGACAGACACCGCTGAGCTCTGCAAAGGCATTTCTCCCTGTCATTCGATCCGGGCACTTCTCATAAAGCTCCTCCCGGGACAGGTTCTTAAACTGTCCTGCTATTCTGGGATTCTCAAACGCAACATTGATCAAGTCAATACACTGATCCGCAGGAATCATGTCATGAGACAACCTCGCAAGCACAGTACAGTCAAGGCCACCTGAGAATAGCACTGCAACTCTCGCATCCGTAGGAGTAGCCTTTGGGGGTAGTGGCACATCTAGAACTCGTAGTCGAAGAGACTCGACTAAGCGAGAATGCAGCTCTTGCACAGATCTTGAATCTTGTCCGAGAGCAGAATTCTGCTGCGGGAGATCTTCGTTAAAACTACCGATACTCGATATCTGAGGACGTAAGTAGCAGGCTTTTCGGGGTCATACTCACGCTGAACTTACCAAAGAAGTATCCGCGGTCCAATCGTGCCGGTCTGGCACAATTCCATCAGACGAAGCGCCCTTGGAGAGATCCAGAGTATAGCATCCATCAGCCTCGACCTCGGTCCATCCATCGACCGGTGTCTCAGCGATACTTGACAGAACAAACGGAGACCCATCTCTGACCAGCAACGACCGGCGGCCTAGTCGATCGCGTCCGTAGTAAAGCCGCTTGGCAGGTTTATCCAGGTAGATAAACGCGAAAGGCCCTTCAATGGTCTGCAGGATGTCCATGACATCTCCTGCGCCACGACTCGCTTCAGCCAGCAAAGCAAGAATAGCTTCACCATCGTTGCCTTGTACAGACTCTCCTCGAATACCCCAGGCCTCGCCATTCCAGCATAGGACAGATTCAGTCACATGATCCACAAGCGGCTGCTTTGCTATGTGATCACCTCGCAGTGATAACACGGTTGATGTAAAGGTCAGGAAGAGATCATCAAGCTGCGTCTTGACAGTTCCTGTATGATCAGGTCCTCTATTTACCAAACATCGCTCTAACACGGATGACAGTGTTTGTTCGGGGCTTGAGGATATGATAGCATGGATTCCGCACATTTTTGCGCGTTGCTGAAAGGGCGAAGACGCGGTTGGAAGAGTTGCAAGCTTGTTGGTGTAGTTGAAATTGATTCATTACTGGAAGCGAAATATTGCAGATCCACTCCGGAGCAAGTTTACCCTACACTCTAATGTGCACGGAAGGTAGTGAGTGGAGCTGGTACTTAATTCTTGATTTGCAATTGCTGTAAGAAATATTTTTAACCATTATAAATTCTTGCCTTTTCCCTTTGAGCTTGCACAGATAGATATTGTGTGAGTCGGATAGGGTTTACCGTCTGCTGTGAAAAGCATAAAAGCCCAACATAACCACAGGACTAATCTAACGCTGTATCATGGGGTATCGCTGTTGAGTAATTACACAGATGCTCCGTCATGCAGCGATATGTTGTGGTCACTTAAGGGAAAAATTGTGTGTATTTCTATCCCCAAAAAAAAAAAAAAAACAGGGAAGAGAGGCGATCTCTATACCAGCTAAAACCAATTCTTTGCCGAATCGAAATGCACTGCGAAGCGGTGATGTGAGATGGTGTTTCACTCCAATACCCAATCTGACTGCTAAGAATATCCTCCGAGGCAAAAACAAAAACCATTGTCCTGAGCCCTGATGGCTCATTCCTCCATCCGAATCTCAACCTGAGGTAAGTCACAAGCTCAAGGAGTTAACAAACGTCTGAAATACATGAAGAAGCCCTAACCCGCACTGGGTGGCCTATGAAAGTGTCGTGTCTCATCAAACCAAAAAAAAAACTGTTTGGCAATTTTGTTGGGGAAGATTATACAATTTTGAGTAAGTGCCCCTTTACCCAATATTCGGGAAGTTCCACGGCAGAAGGTCGAATCCCTATTCTCCGAGGTTCTGCGGGAAATCAACGTTTGACCAGTCCATCATTTGAAAGATGTCCTGAGAGTTCTGGGAGAAGCCCAGGTTGGCGCTGGGGATTTCACCAAACAGCGACTGGTAATCATTGGCCTTGGTCATACCATTGCCATTGTCATTAGGGAAGAGCGGGAAATCCATTCCGTCTCCTGCAAAGGAGTCGTCGAATCCTTCATCAACATCCCGTAATGAATTTGGAGTATAAAGCATGGCGGTTTCCTGGCCAGTTGGCGAAAAGTGAGGAGCAGCAGTCTGGATGGGAATCTGCTGCTGAGGTTGCTGATACATAGGCAATTGCTGTTGCATCATCTTGGGGTTGGGGTTATACATGATAGCCTGCTCAGGTGTGGGAAGCTGAGCTGGAAGCTGCATATGGGCAGCATAGAGGTCCTCATTATCGAGTATGAAGGCCGAGCCGTTCTGGTAAGGCGCATACTGCTCGTAGGAACTAGCTGAAGCAGGCGAAGTGGAATCCATACTCAGATCCAGGTGAAGGGTCTCGGTGGGAATGTTGTTGATTGACATCCAGTCAGAGTCATTAGGGTAAAGAGGGAAGTCACCACCAACGAACTGGGTTACGTCGTTCTGAGGAGGAGTGGGCACACCGTTGTATTCAGTAGAAGAAGGTGTTGACATGTTACCCAGAGGCGGAGTTTGTTGCTGAACGCTGCCAGCAACTGATGGTAGCTTCTTTCCGTTGGTCTTGGTTCGAACATACGTCCAGCCATGAGCTTTCTCCATGTGCTGCTTGCAGTTGGATTCACGTTTCGACTTATAAGGGCAAGGCTTGAACATGCACTCATACATGGCAGGGGCAGCAGAGTGCTTGTCGTTGTGGTGACGGTCCATTTCCTTCTCAGTGGGCCATCCGTAGGTGTGGTACTTGCAAGTCGGGACAGGGCACTTCCAAGGGCGAGAGTGAGTCTTTTCGTGCTTGGTAAGATCGCAAGGACGCTTGAACTCCTTGTTGCAGCCGGGCTCGCGGCACTTCTTGGGAGCTAGCTCCTCGGGTGAAGCATTCTTCTTGCGGCGAGCCATGGATCGCTGGATCTCCTCCTCGTCCTCGAGCTGCTGGCTCAGGGAGCGTTTTACTTGCATTGGCGAGTCGCTGTCAACCTCGACAGGCTTACCAGTGTCCAGAGAGATGTATGTGCCGTCCTTGCGGACACGGACGAGCTCAACGGGACGGCCTTCGTGCAGACCACCGATGAGTTTGATCTCATCAGAACTTCGGCGAGAGTTAGTTGGGTAGTCCAAGGGAACGAAGCTGGGTACATACGCGTCGATATCCATATCGTCACCGCTGTTCTTTGCGGCAAGTTGTTTTCCGTATTGTAGAATCTGATCCTTAAGGTCGAGGAAGTATCCGTTAGTGTAAGGCCGGTCAGCAGGTCGGATTTGTTCGCGGTCGCTGAGATATTCGACGGTCGCTTGAATGCATTGCACGGACGTAAGGCAGAAATCCAGGTACAAAGTTGCTGACTTGGTCTTCTCCTTCAAACACAAATTCCGATAAGTATTTTCCCAAACGCCAAAACCAGTCAGAAGCTGACTTACCGGTGCCATAAAGATCAATGTTTTCTCAAGATCTCGCAAGCAAATAATTTCCTTTGATCGAATTCGTCGTGGGATGTCAAGAACAATGGGCTCAAACTCCTTGAGAGTCGGCTTTGCCAACAAAGGGCGCAAAGTGTGCTCGTGAATGCGGTTAATAGCCTTGGGCCCCAGAGAGGGAAGCTTTTCCGACGCTGCGGCAACGGATCTTGTAATGGCGGATCGTGTTTGCACCTTTGTCTCCTTCTTTGCCGAAGTGACTGCACCCCGCTTCTCGTTTGTGGAAGCCACCGATGTACCCAAACCGCTATCAGACTCATGGTGCCGTGAGTGGCGAACAGAACGAGGGCGCAGAACGCGCCTCTCCTCTTCTTTTGTCATCTTGGGGTCGACGATAGGTCCCTCGAGAAAGCCACGAGGGATGGGGAGACTGGTGTCTCGAAGGGTCTTGATCTTAGACTTTGGCGACAGAGAGAGCTGATCCAGGGACAGAGCCTCGTCAATATCGTTCAGAGCCAAGGCCACACGTCGACGGTTGGCATCGACGACATCATCCAAGTGAGACTGGGCACGAGGCAGCGTGGGAGGGACAAATGCGATGTCCAGAGTCGAAGATGATGAAGTAGGAGAGTGGAATGTCGCACCCTTACGGAGGGTAGAGCTGTTCTTAAGGGACAAGGCATTGTCGGTGTCGCTGTCCGGGCGAGTCACCGGAGTCCTTCGACGAGGGTGGGAGAAGGACATGGCTTAGACGCAAGGTGGGTATGAGATAAAGAGACAGTCGACTGATGGCCACAGGAGTCCTGAAGCTAAGAGGGGGAGTCCCGTTAGTTCAAGAGTGCGACCTTTGATGCAAGCAAGTGCTTGGTAGTGAAGGACGGGGAAGTGAGTCACAGTCGAGATTCTTAAATCCCACACCCAGGACACAAAGGCCTAGCTAGACGTTGATAAAGGCCAGATTGGGACACGGGGTGATTGACCAATACAAGGAGTTGAAAGTGACACCGGGGAAATTCGAAAACAAGATAAAGTCGAAGTGAAGAGACGAGACTGAGATGTCAAGACGATATAAAATATGAACCGTACCAGGTCAGAGACGGAAGATGTATGCAGATGATCAGCCTTGATGTCGAGGAACCAATGCGGTGGAGGTGGCGCAAGACGATAGAACGACAGGGAAGGCGAGCGATGGACTGAATAATATATTGCTCAGGCGGTAAGACGACTCGGCGAGACTCGAAGCAATGCGTTAAGCGAGACGAGACGTCGAGTGACAAACGTGTGAGAGATCGATGAATGAAACAAACGCAGCGTTGAATGTTGGCGATGCGAAAGGCGGGTGGAACTGGAGGAAGGAAGAGGACGGGCGGAAAAGGGTATATGAGTGTTGACCGAAAGGGTGTACAATTTCGGGACCCGCAGGGTGTGTAAATCTAAACGGAAAGAGACCGGGGTGGTTGAGATGCTGAAGCTGGCGGCGGCCTCAGGATAACGAAGAAATTGGCGAGGTGAGAGAGAGGTTAGAGAGAGGAAGAGGGCGAAATGGGAAGCGTCTACGGACGAGCGAGGTTATGCTTAGAAACCGACTGGAAATGGGCTCCGCAATCTCTCAGCCCATGGCCACTGTTGCCTAAAATCCTGGACGCTAAATCCTTTTCGAGCATGGTACGGGCTGAGGCGCAGGATCCCCCCTGCGCAAGGTTGAGTGTGATAGCATCCTCCCCGCGGTAGTACTCCAATCACTAACAGAATTAAAAGTCTAACTCTCTGACTCTCCAATTACTGAGCATCTGACACCAAGACTCGCACCAATTCCCTCGCAGAGCCTCAACGGACTCAGACTCGGAGTTATGACTTGGAGTACCTCGACTATGACAAGCGACCTTTCTGTATCCCCACAAACTCCGCCAGATCCGACCGCTCCTCTCCCGCACCCTTAGAACCTTTGTGGTTCACTGCGCATCATCCAGTTCTGTCTGTCTGTCTCAGAGGCGCATGAGGCAGAAGAATTTCCAAGCTTGTTATTGATCTGAAGGAAAAGCCAAGGAGCAGTTGACGATGATTTTGGGGGCCGAAAATAACACCATTGCGTATTGACTGTCGTGGCCCTCTGTTTCTCCGCGAAATGACGGTGTTTGTTTTCATTTCGGTTTCAAATAAGCTCGTGTTTTAGATGAAACCAATTCTAATCTTGGGAGGTCACGATCACAAACCAAACGCAAGGGGAAAAGAGAAATTGGTGTTGTCTACTAATTGTGCTAATAATTTACTTACAGATGACGTCGGATCGTGGTGGTTTGGCAACCATTTTCACTGTTGTGAACCTATGGAAAACGCCTTGCGGAGAGTCTGCAGGGATCGACACCGCGCGCATCTTTTTGGTGGTCCGTGACCGTTGACTGTCAGCAATAGAGTGACTTCGGTTTAGTAGTCCGGGAAGAACTCGGAATTCTTCTGGTATGAATACCAAGATCAGTATTTCAACCTTCTCGGAATAATGATCCTGATATTCGCCTAAACTTATGAGAGAACTGTTCTTGCAAAAACGTGTTTTCTATTATGCTGACAGACTGCATGCCCTCGTTTGGTATACAGTCAATGCCTGCCTCTTTTCCGAATGATCCTCGTGTGGCCATTCTGACATCTTACAGATACTCATCCGGGAGCTCATTGGCGTTGACTACGCTACTGTGGCATAAACTAGTCGCTATTCTATTCGTCGGTGGTCTCTGATTGACGAGACGCATTGGTGTTGCAGTCGATGCATTGCATTTCCACCCTCCACCTCAGCCCTCTTTGACGGCTGTGCCTTGCAATCGATGGCGATGCGCAGCCTCTCTGCATATTTTATGTGCATTGATTTGGCAGGGACTTTGGGAACCTCGAACTGTTTTGATTGATCGTAACAGGAATGTTTTGTAACTCGTTAGGAGGGAGACTCACCGAAATATGCATTTCGTCGCCGGACCCTTTGAGCAGATAAATCCCAGTGCTTGAAACAGGTATGATCGACCGACAACCTTCATTGAAGAGAAGAGGACACGACGACTCACACGCGTTATCAAACATCACCAATACCTCACCTTGGCTGCATCTAGATCGAACACAAGACACACCAACCTCAAGAATTCTCCTTCAACTGGTTCCTGTTCCTGTTCCTGTTCCTGTCTCCATGGACTCTCCACCGCCAACGCCTCCTTTCCCGTAGCATCGGCCCACAGCCAGTGGACCGATACTGCATTTACTCCACGCATAGGGCTGCTTCTCTCCGCAGGGGTTGGTCGAAACAGAGGTCATGTCACCGTTGACTCAATGGCCGGCGATTTCCCGTTTTGGTTACGAGCGTGGACCCCCATCTTTTTCCAAGCCGTTGCATTGCATTTCATCGCACTGCTAACCTTTCAGAGCTTCTGCCCTGAAGCATGCGTCCCAGATTGAGGCCGCTTGTCCTAGATTTACCAGCCGGAATCCGTAGCCACCACCAGAAGAAGTCTCATCCATTGATCAAGACAAGTCGAGTCATCGTTGACGCCCGCTCGTTGAATCTGCGTCAGTAATCACGCGTTTGTAGATTCTCACGTCTTGGCATATCTTTTCGGGGATAGCACGAAAACACAAGGGTTCTTTTGCAACTGTATGAAGCCATCGTACCAGTTGGTATCATTTGCCAAGTTTAGGTATCCTGTCACCGTATTCCTTCTCACAACCAACCAAGATACACGTACGCAATATGCATACGCCCTTTCGATAAAAAACAACCACCGACTACGTAAATATCCACGCAAGCTCGGTGTTTCATTTCAGCCCTAGTTGCAACTCGTTCATTTATTTCAAGAACTTTTTGTCTTGTACGATGTTATCAAGTCCTACACTGTCAGCCATTTTTAAACGTCCCTACCATGAGCCAATCAGAGTCTATTTTATCAAGCAGCCTATTAAAGACCCTCTTGTGTCCAGGGACAAATCTGGATGCCTCGAGTGGTGAACCGCATTCTCAAGGCATCCGTATTTCTGGTTCGCAGGGGATACGTATGCATTTTTGTCGTTTCCTGGAATCGGCCAGTAATACAAGTCGCTTTTGACACGAGCATGTTATTAAGTCACCCCTATATGATTGTTGACGGTGCTACTAGTCTAGGGGTCTTATGGCGCAAGCAAACTAGAATAACTTCTTGACAAGCTTAACGAGGGAGCTCGTGATCAAGGCACCCGCGAATTGGGACTTTTGATTTGACAATGACATAGGTAGATTCAATGATCCATGTTTTGATTACAAGATCCTAGCGGTGATCAGTATCTATCTAGATCTTCCTTAGTTATGGGTCCTTGCACAAGTCCCCTTAACTCGTTGCCTGTCTACCTGTAGGCCCAGACTCCAAGACCCATTTAGACATGTCCCTATTTTAGATATGATGAGTCCCGTATAGCTGAATGCCGTAGAAGCGTGCGATGAAACGGTTGAAGTTCTGCAAGAAAGATATGAGAAGTCCCCTGAAGTCTCAAAACCTTCGGTGTAAAATCTTGGTGGAACATATGAGCGGGACAGCGTTCCGTTCCAACTTGTCATGAATCATTTGTCACAGTACAATCACATAAGTAGTTTAAAGACGTATTAATGAAAGAAAAAACTAAAAAGACATTGAATTTTTATAACTCCGATGATTCACTTGAACCTCTTATCTATTCCACATGCCAATGCCAACGCCAAGTCAAACCAGATGACGATCACAAGGTAATCTCACAGTCCTATACCCAATGCGCATACTCATCATGTGCTGGGATATCCACATGAGGAGCGTTTCTATCATCCTCTGTAAGAGGAGAAACGGTATCAGATCGATCAATAAGATCCCTCGCACTGCTAGATTTGCTGGGATCTGCTACCTCGAACAGTCTCTGATGCGGCGCTGGTGCGGACTTGTCCATGACGACTTTGTACCCGATTTTTCGACCGCGAACGGCACGTTCGCGTTTGGGAAAGCCTGCGTAAGGATCATCGCGTTGTCTTCGTGGCTGCAGATTAGTTAGCTTGATTCCCTGAGATGTTTGACCAACCTGCGATGCACCTTGGCCTGGTGAAGGGGAGAAGTTCCGGGCGCGTACACCTGGGGGGCTGGTGAAGCATCTATGGGATGCAGGCTGTGGTGCCATATTCATTCGAAGCTGCTCTTTATATGCCCCGTATTGGTGGGCTCTATCAGGAGCTCTCACCTCCTGATGAACTCCAGTAGACTGTGGTGCCTGCACCTGTCTCGTACCATGGGAGGATCCAGGACCATGAGTCTGCTGAGCAGTGAATCCTTCATAGTCCCTCCTTGTTCTCTTCTTTCTCGACTCCTCACAGTTAGAACACATACCTGGCCGAACGTAACGATCCTCGGTACTCCTATGCGCGCCCTTGTAGGGGAATACCCCAGGGAAGGACAAACAGGGGCAAAAAGCCTCCCAACGATCTTGCCAGCAAGATTCAGTTCTGATGAACTTGTGATGCTGGCACTGCTGGTAGTTGTGGTAAATGTCGCGGCACATTGTGCTGGTACGTTAGGATGGAAAGTGCTTTGTTTTGTAATGTAGGCGCAGAAATGGAACCTTGGGTGGTTGATACGTTGGCTTGATGATATTCCGCGTCTCAAAGGGGGAGTTTGTTAAGATTGTGCTGCAAGTTTTGTAGAAAAATAAAGGGATCGCCACGATTACTATATATACTTGATCGTCGTTGTTTGAAACTTGAGGCTGTTTCTCTGTCCTAATGGTGAACAACTGCCAAATACGTGAGCAAACTGAACAAAGACTTTGGTCATATTCTTGTTCAACGTCGTTACAAATGTTCAGACAACCAGGTAGTTGTGACAGAGAATAAGGATATGTACGTATTCTGTGTTCATGTGAAGGTATCGATGAACAAGTCTGCAGTCTAGGTACGTCTAAACTCCTGCATCTATTCTATTGAACAACCAAGCCACTCTCTCTTTTCAGGCAAAAGACGATACGATAAAAAGCTCCTCAGCGTTCAATCGCTTTCGCCAAGATAAGGATATTTCTATTCTATGCCCTGGCCAAAACGCTCCAACAAAATGCCCTCCCATGAACAGACTCATTATCCCTCTGTCGCCGGTCGACAACAAGATCAATGCCCCCAAGCACGAGTACGGTGGGAAAAGGTCATGCCATATCTCATTTGGTCACGTTGGTGTATAACGAGACTTATTCGTTGGTTGACTGGAGCATCACCACCTGAACCCCCTATTCCCGAGACCAGATCGACCTGGGACACAGGGCTTTGTTCAATGGAAATTCCTATCAGTGAGGTTCCAATTGCGCGGGTACCCCTTCGTACAACCCGTTACTATGAGACTAGATCGCGTGACCAGGAGTCTCATAGCCAATCTCTTGCTTCTCCCACTCCAAGGAGTTCTGACTTCTCCAGTTTGGGGTATATTGAGAATGGGTATTTCATCCCGCCTATAAGACACTCTGATGAGAACGCTCCTATCCCTTCTAGTAGTCATATGTTAAGCACCACAGAGATGACTGTCCACCCAAGCCCAGAGGAAGCTGCTACCCTTCCTGCCGAGACGGTTCGCTGGCCCTTACTATCCTCTTCTTCTGAGTCCGATGAGGAATTAGACGACGAATCAGATATGAAGATGCAAGCTGCGCAATCCATAGTTAAGCTGCGCAGACGCTTTCAGTCATCTTCTTCTGAGTCCTATGAGGATTCAGATGAAGAATTATATGGGAGAATAAGAGCTACGGCCTCCATGGCTATGGTGTGCAGAAACCCTCGCAGAGCTCTTCGTATTACGACTGGCGGTTTTTGTGAAGCTTTACAGTCTCACACATCCCTTGCCAGTCCCTCTCCTATAGAGGGCTTCTCGTCAGACCCTGGGACTTCTTTAAACGCTTCATCTCTTGCATTTGGTGTTGCATCTACAGCCGAGGCCACCGAAGACGGGTATGAGGAAGAGGAAAACGAGGAAAACGAAGAGGACGAGGAAAAGCCTGCCGCTGTGCGATCGATACTAGTTTCTCCAGTTGGTCGACCAACTTTGATCCACCTACCTGCTCGACCGCAAGTAAGCTCAGGAAACCGAGTTCTAGGTTCTCCCTAATCCGATTGATAACGTGATTGAAAGAGGTCGTTGGTCGAATTGATCTCAGTGAAAGAGAAACGAGAAGGAAACGAATTAAGAACGGAGAGGGTTGGTCCCAGCCTCCAGGTGCAGGTGTCACGAGAAAAGTCGTTGGCTATTTGATCTGGCTTTTAGAAACGGAAAATAGTATGTTTGGACCATCTTGCATAATATCATCGGGCGTTTCTTTAAGATCGGATTGTGTTTCTGCATATCCTAGGACTCTTCACGTTTAGAATAGACAATCTTTCAAATTGACACTATGGGTATCTTACCACCATTCTTTTTCCTTCTCGCCACCAAACGTCTAAACATGTGCCCAACCTCTTTCAACAAGAACCTGCATCTCGTTAATCAGGCAAAACTCGCCAGGTTCTCTTCCCCCTAACTTCTCCCACTCCGCCACACGTCTCCTAACCACCCATGCGTCGAACGGTGATGATACCCATCGCATAATGCGGTTGATCCAGAGACCGGAGAAGATCTGCCATGTCGACACCCATGCGCCTTGTTCGGGATGCACGGCCTGGTATGCGCGTAGGTTATAGCCTACGCGGACGTGGGGATTGAGGTATACACCTCTCGTTTTTGAGAGGGGATTGTCAGCGTGGATAAGGCAGCATTCGCAGCCTTCGAGGTGGTGTTCAGCTAAAGAGTCTGGAATACCTCGGAAGCGCAGCTTTGACGACGAAGTGAAAGGTTCTACGGGCATGGCAACTAGTGAGGCAGTCAGTGAGGAAGCACTCGTCTTCAAGGGCAAGGAAACAAACCAATTCCATTCCAGCAGCTCGCCACAGGCACAGCATCCAAGTGATTAACAAGCGCATTCCTCGAAACACTGCCCTTGAAATACGGCCAGGTTGGCATCGCATGCGCCTGTCCATTTGTATCCCTCAGCGCAAATGTATCATAATACTGCGGCGGTTTCGAGAAATCAAGCGAGCAAGCTGCAGCGTAGTCGCCGCCATTCGTGCTAAGGAGCTTGAGCACATCGTCTGTCTGTAAACTTTGTGAGATGCTGACCACCCTGGAAGAGCAGTTGACGTACCGTGAAGACGACATCATTGAGAAAGAGAACCTTATCAAAATGCTCTCCTTTCTTGGATAGGTCTATCAAGTCCTGCAACGTCCTGTTCCTCAGCTTTGCGAGAAACGGTATCCTTCTCAACTCGCGCTTCCCCCTAGGTGTATCGATCCAACCTTCTCCCTTATTCGGATTCTCAATCTCATCTTTATGCGTAACATCCGACATCTCCACACGATGGGGCACTCCCAGTCTCTCGAGCTCCTGATCTATTTTGTGCAGCTCCTGTTTGGTCTTGTCCCAGCTCCCGCTCTCATACACACTAACAAAGACATTCTCTCGCCCGAAAAGTTTTGCAAGTTCTATCACCGCAGGACCCCAGTGGTCTCTTATCACGCGCTCGTTGTTGAAGTGCATGCTTGCGATATAGATGCGCCCCGGAGGCTGCGAGAGCTTCGGGGCTGGAGTGCGATCGGCATCGAGGAGGTTTCTATGGATTCGAAGGACATCGAGAATGTTTATTATGACGACGAGGATGAAGACTATCTTGGGGAAGCGTGAGCGTAGGAGGCGGCGCAGGTAGAGGCGGTTCGTATGCGAGACCATGATTCCTTATGCGTGGTTATGAGGACAGCAAAGTATCATCATAGAGAGTGGAACTAGTAAGATTGGTGTAACCTCTGCGCAATTTAGCGGACAAGAGCATGGAATATCATCCGAGAAGAAAAATCATCGTTGGTTGCGATGTTGACTGCACAATTGACATTGGATCCATCCCTTGCTTGGCTCATGTCGACTACCTACCTTACCTTTGTAATTCGTACAGTATGTATTTGGGTTCAGCCTCTTGCCCTGCCGGCACAGCCCATTATCATCATAACAGGGATCCATGATATCATGTAATTTCAAAATAGAAAGAAAGATGCATATGAGGGACGCATCTGAATTTATTCCTTTTGTCCTGGATCTACGTCGAAAGAGCGGGATATCTGAAATCTAACCCTTTCTATAAAGACATCGAAACACTTTGATCAGACATCCAACAACCCGGTCATCATGACTGCCCGTCGATTTGGAGGCTAGGTCTCAGCACATTATAGGGGCCCCTGCCAAGGCCCACTGAGCTCCACTGTAGTTCTTAGACATTCAACGAATGGATGAGCATTGCGTCCAAATGTTCAATCAAATATCAGATTAGCTTCTCTATGCTTTCAATAGCTTACACATCTTCCTTCACGTATTTTATCATATACAGATAACGGGAGATTGGTTTTGTCTGGCACTTATGGTCCAACCTCCGTCGACCTGGTATATCCCGTAGCTAATCTTGTCATGATCAGCGTCATGACGGCTTCATTAACTCGACCCGAGTCTCATGGAAAAATGCCAGTGATACGTCCACTTAAATTTTGACGGCTCAAGAATCTTCAAATTCAAGATTGGTCAAATCATCCCATCACCATCTATTTGGCAAAGTGAAGGTCATATCCGAGCCACTTCCTTCGGAGAATGGCATCAACGGACAGACCAGGGTAACCATAGGTGAGAGGCAGGAAGAAGTACCAGCCAGCAATGATCAGGGACAGAATAGCACCACAGGCAATCCAAGCACCGAGCATGCTCTGGCCGGCGAAGCGCTCACGGGCGGTGACGTGGTGCCTGGGGCTAACGGGTCCCTTCTTATCCTTGATAGTGACCTCCTCAGGAGCCTCAGAGTTGAAGATGAACTCAAGAAGAGCACCAGCAACAAGACAAGAAGCGAGGTGAGCTGGAAGGTAATGATGCAAGAAAAGTTGTCGTCCCATGAGGAAGAATGGGAAGTAATGAGTAGCCCAAGCAAGGAAGAAGAAACCGGTAGAGTTATACAGGCGCGAGCGAGTTCCTAAAAATTCGTTAGTAAATCAATTCTCAAGATGTATTTCGACAAGACTTACGGCGGTCGAGAGCATCAACACCACGGCGCAGAGACACCTGATCAGCGAGAAGAATACCGGCATAAACAGCGAGAAGACTGCTAGCGAGCCACCAGCCAATAGGGTTGCCCAAAAAGTAAATCTGTTGGCGCGTCTCGCTCTGAGTCCAGAAGCTCACACCACGGAGCAGGAAAGGCCACTGGTAAGGGTGGCTAGCGTAAGGGTGGCTGCTGGTAAGCTTGCTGTTATGGTAGAACATGGCGCGCTGGAGCTCGAACCACTTCTGGAGGAAGGGCAGAGACTTGACCTTGCGCTCAGGCTTCTGGCGACGAGGGTGATCAGCAGGCAGAGAGGGGATGTCCTCAGCGATCCAGACGTTGGAGCTGGGCGCAATCTGCTTGTTACCGTTGATCTCCTGCTGCTTGTAACCCCACTCAGGAAGAGGCTTAGTATGAGTCCACATGGCAACCTTGCTTGGGTTGTGAATGAGCTTAAAGTGGCCAGCGACAGTCTTGAAGTTCTGGTTCTTCTTGCCGTGCTCAATTCGGACCTCGAAAAGCGTGTCCTTCTCACGCTTGCCGAAAGCCTCCTCGGGAGTAACAGCAGTGAATTCCTGGTTGGTGGGGTAGTAAGGAGAAGCGACATCGTGGGAGAGTAAAATCTTGTCGGTACCAACGTGGCGAAGGCGAACCAGTTCGTGGTTCTTGACAATGCGGCCAATCTGCTTATCGTTATTGGCAGGCAGGATCTCCCAGTAGTTGTTGGTGTCGTTGTAAGGGTAACCAGTGATCTGCTGGCCTTGGGACGAAACACGGCCATCATCGTATCGGAGAGGGTAACGGTCCTCATGACTGTGGAGATATGTCTTGGTCTCCTTGTGTCGAATCGTGATCTGGTCATAGTACTGAATGTCGATCGAATTGGCCAGCATAACGTTGTCGCTCAGGGTCTCCTGGAATTCAGGAGTCATGAAATCGTCACCGGGACCGGATCTGTAGAGAACGGCGAAGTGAACCTGGAACCAGAAGAGGTAGAACAAGAAGGGCATGATGATCAAACCAAAAGCCCGAGCGGCAAAGTGCTTAGTAAATTCCTGCAAGCTGATGGCACCACCGGGTCGGTTAATGTTAAGGAGGTCCCAGAGATCAATAACAACAGCAGAGCCAATGGTAACGAAGGCAAATACACCGACGTACTTGACCGAGATATCGCAAGACAGAGCGAATCCGGTAAGGATGAGCCACTTCCACCACTTTCGGGAGAAAGGCTCATGTCGGAGCTTGTACCACTTGATGTAGAAGAGAAGACTGCAGGCCATGGCGAGGACCAAAGTAGCATCAAGGAGGATGAGTCGGGTCTGGCCAATGTGGGCATTGTCGAGGAGGACAAGACCAGCGGCGAGGATGCAAGCGGGGAGGCTGTAGCCAGACTCCCACATAATGAGATATGTGACCGAAACAGTCAAAGCACCTAGAGTAGCGGGGAGAGCTCGGTACGCGACATAAGGAACCTTATTCGCAATGTAGGAGTCGCCGATGTTCTCGAAGTGGAAGTTTCCATCATAACCAACGAGCCAGCCGACGAAGGCGAAGAGGAGCTTGCCGAAGGGAGGGTGGACATCGAAGAAGTAGGTTCGCTCGAGGTAGTATGAGGCGAACTATCAAGCAACAGTTAGCCATAGCTTCGACTACAAGTGAATTCAATTGTGCTTACCTTCCCAAAGTGCACCTCGTCAAAGACAACCTCGTTCGGATGGCTAATGCCCCAGAATCGAGTAACGAAGGACAAGATAGTGATGAGGAAAAGGCCAATCTTGTACTCGGTCTCGCTCTGGGCAGCGGCTCGCTGAGCGCCAGCCTTGGCAAGCTTGTCAAGCTCGATATTAGGATCGAAAGAGTCTTCTTCGGAGGGCTTCTTTAATGGTGCGCCCCTCTGTCGCAGACTGCCCTGCGGCGTGGAGCTTCGAGCCATGATTGAAGTTGGCCGTAAGCTATAGATGCGACAATCAGTTAACGGCCTTGTTGCATAGATGTAAGAAAAGAACAAGGTATGAAATATGCAAACAACCACGTCTCACAAACGATTCAGAGGAACCGTAGGTCTCAGGCTTACCTCAGGGGTTAGATAGTAGTGCCCTGGTTACACCAAGTGATTTATAGAAGAGGAGAAGAAATAGGTAAACAAAGGAACGATAGAAGAGCAAGTAGAGGTAGCTGCCAGAAGCAATTGCGCACCTCAATCGATAAGTTTCACAAAATAAAAAGAAAGGAAAGAAAAAGGGGCGGTTGATTAAAAAGAGAAACCTCCCTGTGGTAGAAGTTATGGGATCAAGTTGATGCTTCTGGCGTCGAGGACAACCTGGCCAGCTTGCCTTTTTTTACCCCCTGTCACTGGAGGAGTCTGGGCTAGATGGGATGGACGCAGGGGTAAGACCCCACTTGTGTTAGCTCTCAGCCACTTGACAGCTGAGGCTGCTAACAGTTGGATGTCTTCGAGGGAAGTGAATAAGGAGTTACGGGAACCAATTGGGTCCCGTCGTGTTTTAGCTTGAGTGGGAATGACTTCGACCAAGCTTTGCTGATGATGCCGGTTTTGGCGATGCTCAGCAACAGGGCTGGAAGCATGCGGTGAGCAATTTGTGATTACTGGTTGAACGCCAATCCCGATTTTCAATTGAACACGAATGCTTCGAACATCGTGGATCTTTTACAAGTGGAGTACTAACTTTCTTGTAGTTGGTCACGCTGAAACTTGGGTTGGTGGCAAAGTACAAAGAGACAAGTGAAGCTACACTTATAACAAACAGCTGACTATCCTCCTTCGGGTGTTGAATAGAGCATCAATAGAGAACCTTTTTGTTCAAACATCAACTACAAGTCTTGTTTGCCAAAGCATTTAAATCGAACTCTTGAACAAACACTCTGAGATATACAATCCGTCCAATATGCAGACGCCGTGGCTTCATGTCAATAACCAAACAACGAAGATGAAACATCATTATGTCATTCTCTGTCTCTACCCCTCAAATTACATACAGCAATACCCGTTGGCTCGAGCCGGGGGGGGGGGGCCAACTAAGCAAGCTTAGTTGGGCACAAAACCGTGAGACATGCACAAAAGGGTGAGACAGACGGATCACACCAAATTTTAGGTAAAAAAGTCACGTGATAGGGAAAATTCCTCTTATTATAGCTACTATATAAGATCTAGCTTAATTAGTAATTAATATAAAGAATTTAAATATTCTTTATAAAAAGATTATTTAGAAATATTTTCTTTAAGTTTATAGGATTTTTCTATAATTAATTATTTTAATTTATAATATTTTCCTTAAGAATTTTAATTTTTAAATTTTAAAGATTTACTAAGGAATATACTTTAAGTTTAAAGCTTATATATAGCTTAGAGAATTTATATATATTTTTATATAATATATTTATATCTTAAATATTTTAAATATAATTATTAAAAAATTCTAATTAATTTATTTAATAAGTAAAGGCTTTTTTAAATAAGTATTTTAAAATATTTAAAGCTTAATTTTATAGCTTATATTAGCTTTAAGTATATATTTTAAGCTTTATTTATATTTTATTAATATATTTATATTATATAAAAATTCCTTAAAATTTCTAACTAACTTATAAGTATATAAAAATATTATTTATTATTTTTAATTAATATTATATTTTAAAATATAAATAAAATTATCTTTAAGGTTATTACTTAAATTTTAAGTATAATTAAGGAAATAAATATAAAAAATATATTATTTAATTAATAAGATATTTCTTTAATTATTAAAGAATTATAAAAAAATTACTTTTTTAATATTTAAAACTAATATTTAATAGCCTATATAAGCTAATAAAATTCTAAACTAAAATTCTAAATTTTTTATAAGCTTTATATTATATTAATATAATTTTTAAATATTTATTAGCTATTTTATTTCCTCTTTTATATTATTTTTTAAGTTTATTATCTCTTATCTTATCAGCTCCTCCTGTCTCACCCTTTTGTGCATGTCTCACGGTTTTATGCCCAACTAAGCTTGCTTAGTTGGCCCCCCCCCGGCTCGAGCCAACGGGTAGCTATAATAATAGAGCTCCCAAAAAATCTCATTCTCAGAGCTCTTCCAGACGTTCCTCGGCCGCCGTGTCCGGAGGGCGCAATGTGGGGCGGCCTGGAGACGTCGTCAGACCTACCACAAGTTAGCCGATCAACGGAGCTCAGCAGCAGTAATTAACTGATTTTATGTATTGACCAGAGACTAGGTACCAAGTCCAATCCATTCTCTCAAGGTGCCTTCCATTGGCTAGCTTCGGTTTACCCCTCCGAGTACTCACCGAACCTCCGGAGCTCTCGTCCAAAACACGGCAACCAAAGCTTACTTGAACCCCTTGGAAACTAACTTAACATAACCTCAGCTCCGTGACTTCAATTTGAACATTCTCCTTACACTCTAGGTACGTCGATAATTACAATTGTCAACCTTTTTCTGCAATGTCATTCTCTCCCATTGCGCGTAGAGCTTCACGCTTTATCACCTCGTCCATCCGGACAGCTCCCCGCCAGCATATCGTAGCGACAGCCAAGTTCACACGTTCAAGCAGACACCAATCGACAATGTCTTCCGACCAGCAGATCATTTTCACCAAGGACGCCCCTGCGGGTAAGTTTCACGGATTCCATTTCTGATAAAGCCTTTACTGACAATGTTGAAGCGCTTGGCCCTTACGTATGTAAAACTACCCCTCACTGACAAGGCCAACACTCATGATATTTCAAACCAGTCTCAAGCCATTAAGACCCCCAACATGATCTACTGCTCTGGCCAGATTCCTCTTACGCCCGAGGGTGAGATGGTTCAGGGTATCACCGAACAGACCCGCCAGGCTTGCAAGAATGTCCAGGCTGTTGTTGAGGCGGCAGGCTCGTCTATTTCCAAGGTTGTCAAGACCACGGTCTTCATCTCTGACATGTCCTACTTTGCTGTCAGTGCCCCAGCAAGGCCATTCTCCCATTGAGTTACTGACAGCTTCTAGGAAATCAACACTGAGTACGAGAAGTGGTTTTCACACAAGCCTGCCCGCAGCTGTGTGGCTGTCAAGACTCTTCCCAAGAACGTTGACGTTGAGATTGAGGTCATTGCTCTTCCATAGAGGCAAAGGCTAAACAAAACCAAGGCTCGCAATAAAATAGAACTTGATGAAAACAATTTTGCAATACTTCGGAATCCGTGAGAATCGTGAGTCTTTGGGACTAAAGTCTTCCTATTGCCATAAAACCATCAAACCAGTCTCCGTAGACTTCCTTGCCATATTTCACCAGTTCGCGCGTTTTATCTCCTTCCCGATCTAACGACTGGCAGAGCTTTATGGTATGAGCGAAGAGATGTTTCGATGGTTCGTCATTGATATCGATATGGGAGTCTTTGTCTTAAACAAGGTTAACAGCGGCTACAATTTTACTGGTTGCTTAAGTCGATTCCTCGATTTTCCTGTCGGTAGACTAGTGCTTTTCGACCCTGAACAGGTTTGTGATACCTCCCTGTATGCTTAAAACTTGGCAAAATGCGTCCATGGGAAGCAAAAAAGAATCAAGCGGTATGGCATGCCCACCTATCGCCATTGCCACCCGCTCAAGATCATTATGATGACGCTTCGGGTCGCATGAGGCATAGTCTTCCCGAAATGCTCTGAAATAGCTTTGATTAGCTTCAAAACATGCTGTATGAATGAATGCAACTTTGTTCCTGATAGTGTCTTGAGTGACCGAGGGAGGAGGCATTGCGAAAGGAGTAGTAGGTGATGAGGCCGGAATAAGAAACATCATCTGGTATAGAATTACTAAGTTTTTTGGTGTTTCCTTTAGCTAGTGAAGCACAGGCAGGGCGTGCTGTCGAGTTTTGACGGATATCTCGAAAGAGCTTATTGTTAACCACTTGAATGACTTGCATCGGAGACACATACCAAGAAAGATGATCAGTATAGCTTGGTATTGTTGAAGTTGGAAGTTCTGGAGCAAACAGACGGTTCGTCTCATGAGGCATCATGAATGCCTGAGTTGTTGGATATGTAGCAAGTTAAGATTCATGAGGGAGAAGGATCGAGAAACACATCAAGGGTTTAGAACGAGACTTCCTGCTGAATACATACGGTACATAAAGTACTGTAAGCGTCCCAATATAAACCAAAGTCAGTGGAGATTTGTCCGTGGGAGGTATGCAGTTTATAGACCATTGCGAAGTTACAATGTAATCTGCCCGCTTTCTACAGCAGTATATATTGTTTATACAAACTATCTAAGTGCTCCACACCACAACCCTGCCATCGACGCCGCTTGCTACAATCTTTGTCAGTTTACGCATCTTATAGGTACCGCTTTGTACTTACTGCTGAACCTGGTGACGCGGTCACCAGATGTTTCGAAAGGCCTGACGGTGCTGATGGTGTTTTGGTGAATAGTCTTAAGTTGAGTGTCATCCTTAGTCTTGCCCTTGAGATCCATCTGTCTGAACATGTTCAAAGCAGATTCCTCACGGTGCTCGCCCAGACCAGGACGGCCCTTCTGCTCAATAGCACCAGCCAGCTGCCAGCCTGCCTCACCACCTTGGAAGCGGAAAGCCTCGCAGTCGTAACCGGCAGCAATAATCTCATCTTCGCTGGTCCAGATCAGACTCTTGAAAGGAAGCTGCTGAGTGGAGACGGTGACAACCGCACGAGGGGGCTGCTCAGGGCCAGATGGGTAGACGACAGTGATGCTACTATCATGCGCCGCGAATGCAAGACTGTCTCCACTGGGAGAGAAAGAGACAGAGTGTACCCATCCAGCTGAGTTGTTCAAGAACTCTCCACAAACGGTGTTGAAAGGGAGTCGCTCGCCCCAGACTCCCGGAGCAGGACGGGAGTCCATACCCTTGATGAAGGCGGAGAAGACTCTGGCGTGAGCATCAGTGGACCCAGCAGCCAGGAGAACAGAGTTGGGGTGCCAAGCGACGCTGGTAATGGTGCTACGGATGGGCTTCTTCAGGTGCTTGGACACCCACCAGTCGTTCTCCTCTTCGAAGTAGCAGACGGCAATGACGCGGTCACCGGATCCCACGGCGAACTTGTTCTCAGAGGGAGACCATCGGACGAAGGTAGCGGCTCGGCTGATTCGAAGAAGGACCAGGGTAGGCTTATAACCGGTTGGGGAGGGTTCCCAGACCAGAGCGTTGCGATCTGATTGTCATGTAAGGTACTGAACGAAATACTACATAGGGGTAATTCCATGTACACTAACCTTGAGAGCAAGTAACGATACGTCCACTGTTGGGAGCAATATCGACACTAGTGACCGTCTTGTCGTGGCCCTTGAGCTCGTCCTTTAGCTTAAAGGCATCGCCAACCTTGCCATAGAGCTCGACAGCAGTGTCCCGAGCGACAGCGAGGACGGAGTGATCGGCCGAGAAGGAATGATCGGCGATGGGGTTGTGGAAGAGGTGGTGGACTTCGGGGGCGGTCATAGTGATGTTATTCGCGATAGGAGTAGCTCTCTACTATCGCCTTGAAGCTGATTGAGAGTATAGGAAAGTAAGAAAGGTCGTGTTGAGTTGGGTGCTGATGATCTATGGACTCCAAGTTGGCGGTGGGGGTGGGGGGTTACGTAGTGCTGAAGCTCCAACGGATGGTAAGCTTGGGCCACAGCGGCTGTGCTTGTCTTGTAGCGCGAGGCTGGCAATTCTAGGCTCGGCGAAAAATCTCCAAACCATCAACACCGCCGAATATCAATATCATTGAATTCAGTTGCGCCCATCATTAATAGCAAAGTCTTGGTATAGGCAGTATCGAGAAAGTGCTAAATTATCGATTGCGACACATCGAATATCAACATAGAACTACCTGCGCCTTTTCAACTACCACAATGGCCGCTGCAACAACCGCGCCTCGTGGTCTTCAACCAAACGCATCTTTACCAGCCAAGGTTCAACCTATTCCTCCTAATCAGACGTGAGTCTTCTACTGCCCTGCTGCTTCTCAACTCGTGCTGACTCCTCAGCCTCTATGTAACGAATCTCCCCTCCTCAAAAATCCAGAAAGCCGACCTACGAACCGCCCTTTACCTCCTCTTTTCCACATACGGACCTGTCCTCGACGTTGTCGCTCTTAAGACAATGAAGATGCGCGGTCAAGCCCACATCGTATTTCGGGACGTTCAGTCTGCTACACAAGCTATGAGATCTCTCGAGGGACAAGCATTCCTCGGTCGCGACTTGGTTAGTGGAACCTTTCCGTGGTGGTGGAATCAGTCTAACTCGTTGCCTAGAAAATACAATATGCGAAATCCAAGTCCAACTTTGTGGCCAAACTCGACGGCACTTTTAAGATCCCCAATGTCGCAGGTGCCACCAATGTCGAGCAGACTGAACTGCAACAGAGCATCTTCAACGCTCCCCCTCCCGGATCAGCACCGGCACCCACGCCCGGCTCTGGTCTTCCTGCGAAGCCTGCTGCGAACGCGGACCATGTTATGGAAGACGCCGATACACCGGGTGGCCGAGGACAGAAGCGAACCCGTGACGATGAGGATAGTGATTCGGATGTTGCCATGGAGGAGGACAGTGACGATGATTGATGAACAAGAATGAGCCCATGAAGGTCGGCGACATCTCTGAGAGACGCAATCGATCCGCTACTGCATTGCCAATTCTTTGGGGGCCCATAGCCCTACGCAACCTCCTACAAGTCCGAGCCATATCATGAGATAGTTCGTTCTGTCGCACTCGAATTCGGAGATTGCGTCTCCCAGCAAGCAAGGGTGGACAAAGAAGGATGGGACGCCCGTGATCGGGTGGTGCTGTGAGCAAGGTGTTAGTTAGGCCGACCAATCTTGACGATACCCAGAATCTTGAAATTGACTTGTGCAAACAGCTCTCCTCAGAAGACGTACATCGGCCGATATCCCGCCTACATTGCCCAGTGCCCGAAGCCCGGCCTTGTACTCGTCTGGTACAAGGCGGCGAAAGACGGTGTCAATGTCGAATGCGGGCTCATCGGCAGGTAGGTTGCGTAGATTGAACCATAGACATGGCACACGATACGTGGGGTGAAGGTGAATTTCGTATTCCACCATGGCACCTTCTGGGCGAGTTCGTTGTCTGATTAGAGCGGCCTGGAATAATCTGTAAGACGAAGTTCAACATTTAGAAGATATTCTATTGAAGATAAGTTACCTCGTCTGCTTCTTCGGCATCTAACATATCCTTATCCCCGCCTATTTGTACATGTTTTTTGTCGTCTGAGAAGGAGAATCCATCCAAATTTAGTGAAAGATCCCCATGATCCAGATCAAACTCGAGAGGCCGCCTTATTTGGATATACGTTGTGAAACCCCCACCATAGGCGAAGTCTGTGCAAAGAGCATTGCAGAGCCTCAGTTTCCACCGTGCTCGTTGGGGGCCTAAGGACGCTTGGCAGTATTGTCTGTCAAGGTGATGGCATGCTTCTGAGAACTCTTCTGTGGTAAGAGAAGGGAAGTTTTCGATGCTCATTCCGACTAGGATTATTGTGGTCGACGTTTGGAGAGTTTTGGTATCAGAGGTGAAGTTGTGATTAAGTTGGGTATCGCTTCCACGTGCAGTTATTTTAGGTGTGAAGGGTCCACGTACCTGAGCTGGTGGTCATCTTAGTGCGTAGATCTAGCACAGCATGATTGTTTGACAGGACTATTTGGTTGGATGTAACATCTATCTAAGCTTTAATTTGTTAGTTATTTGTTCCTAGGAGCTCCCTACCTTAGGTAAGGAGCCAAAGGTGAGTGTTGACTTGATGTCACAGAAAAAGAAACACCTTCACATCATCAACCACGATTGCTTTGCTCTCCTACTACAAGGCATAGATAACATATAAGTCAACTGATGGCAGCTCAGGCAATGGCATCATTAGTCAAGTCTGCTTTTTTCATGCCAGTAACTTCAAATACGTCCTACTGTAGTATGTCGAGTTGCAACGAATTGGTTTCGCAATATAAAAGGGAAACGGAATTGCTGGGTCCGAGTGCTCGGGCCAGGGCGCTAAACTTGACCGAGAGTCGGTGTCGCAATCGCAAACGACACCTTTTGTATAACCCTGGTCGCGTGCTGTAAAGTAAAAGCTACCCCAAGCTCCTGATTTCGGTTCTGTCTGTATTTTCTGTCCTCAATTGGTTCTGGTTGTTTCGTCTCAAACTTGAGACTTTACTTGCCACATTCTTTGTCAACTGCTTCCGTGCTTGCGATCTGTACATAATAGTTCTTGTCTTGTCTTGCACTGTAAATTCTAGCGTCTTTTCGAGTCATTTGCTCTCACCCTACTGGCTAGTCCCGCCTAGAAATGAAAACACCAAGTCAATGATTCGAGATCCGTTCAACATCCACCGAACCACAAGCACCTTTAGTCGCCCGCAATCTCGAAACATTCCTGCGCCGTCGCGGGCCGAGGCCGATGAATTAGCTATGGCATTCTCTATGCCCCGAACCGTTCCGTCCTTTGACAGTCGTCAACGAGAGCTTGAAGATCGATTCTGGGGTTCTGGCCAGAGATCCAACAAGTCGGATCGACTCCCAATGTACAAAGACAAACCTTATGCGTCGCCTTACGACGACGAAGATAGGCCGTTCTGGAAGCGGAGGAAGTGGATGGCTCTTATTGCCTTCGTTATCTTGACATTAATATATTGGACTGGATCCTCCAAGAAACCATCAACGAAGCGAACTGTAACGACCGATTGGAGCTACACAGGCTTGTCCAAAGATGATAGAAAGGCGAACTGGGACCACAGAAGAGATCGTGTGGTCGAGGCATTCGAGCTGAGCTGGGATGCCTATAAGCGATATGCCTGGGGTACGTTTGGCCGAATATCATGGGCAGACGATTCAAATTGGCTGACCAAAGAATTCGACAGGATTTGATGAATACCACCCAATAAGCAAGACAGGCGAAAATATGGCACCAAAAGGACTCGGCTGGATCATAATCGACTCTTTGGATACTATGATCCTCATGAACCTTACATCTCGTGTCCAAGACGCTCGTCATTGGATCTCGGACTCTTTGACATGGGATCAGGACCAGGATGTCAACACCTTTGAGACGACAATTCGAATGCTAGGTGGTCTTCTAAGCGCACACTATTTATCTACCGAGTTTCCGGGGCTTGCGCCACTGGCCGAGGATGACGAGGGGGCAGCCGGCGAAGATTTGTATCTTGAGAAAGCTAAAGACCTGGCTGATCGTCTCATGAGCGCATTTGACTCCCCGTCTGGCATCCCATATGCGAGTGTCAATCTTGCTAAGTTCGAGGGCATCCCCTCACACGCAGACATGGGAGCGTCGTCGACAGCAGAGGCCACAACTCTCCAGCTTGAATTTAAGTACCTCGCAAAGCTCACAGGAGAAAAAGACTTTTGGGATCGTGTGGAAAATGTCATGAAACTTGTCGACAACCAGGGAGCTCAAGATGGCTTGGTCCCCATCTTTATCTATGCAACCTCGGGCGAATTCAGGGGCGAAAACATCCGTCTGGGAAGCCGCGGCGACTCATACTACGAGTATCTTATCAAGCAATATCTTCAGACGAATAAACAGGAGCCTGTCTATCAGGATATGTGGTACGAGGCGCTTCAAGGCGTTCGCAAACACCTCGTCACATATACCTCGAACTCGAAGTTTACCATCATCGGAGAGCGACCGAATGGGTTAGAGATGCCTCTGAGCCCCAAGATGGACCACCTTGTATGTTTCATGCCCGGTACGATAGCATTAGCGGCCACGGAAGGCCTCACTGAGGCTCAGGCGCGCAAACTACCGACATGGTCCAAGAAGAATGAGGAGGATATACAGCTGGCGCGCGAAATCATGGAGACATGCTGGGGAATGTACAAGTACATGGCAACTGGATTGTCGGCCGAAATCACCTACTTCGAGATTGATAACCCGCCAGCGGCTTACGGTAACCCTCGACAAGGTCCAGTTAACTTTGACCCGAGCCCAGACGCGGAATGGCGCAAGGACTTTACAGTCAAGTCTGGCGATGTTCACAATCTCCAGCGTCCGGAGACCGTCGAGAGTCTGTTTTACATGTGGAGGATCACCAACGACAACCGATACCGCGAATGGGGCTGGGAGATGTTCAAGTCTTTCATGAACCACACAGCCGTGAGAAACGGAGGAGGCTTTACGAGCCTGCGCAATGCCAATGTTGTCCCCCCTAAAGTGCGGGACAATATGGAGAGCTTCTGGCTGGTAAGTGACGAGAGATTTGAGCGAACAGGCAATCGAGATGCTAACGTAGTCATACAGGCTGAAACACTCAAGTACTTTTATCTCCTGTTCTCACCTCCTGATCTCCTACCTCTGGACAAAGTCGTTATCAACACTGAAGGACACCCTCTACCTCGCTTTGACATGGGACAGTTATTCTCTACAGGATGGAAGAGAAAGTCAAGAGACGCCAATGGCAAGATCATCGATACGGCCGTCAAGGTGGAAAGTAAAGAGAAGGAGGCTGTTATGCAGGATGCCAAGAAGGTGAATTAAAGCAGCTGATACCGTAGGTGCGGTGATTGGGTGCTGTGAATAAGCTTAAGTGATACAGCGTGGCGAAGTTACGTTGAGCGTATGTAGCATTTATCTGACATATGGTACTGTTTGAGCATGGGCAAAGACTTGAATAGAAGCCCGAAACATTAGTACTGAATTTGTTGTCTCAGATATCCTTTCTGGTCAAGACAGATACTCTTTTCGTGGCTTTGCAGCTGCCTTCCTTGTCCAAGCTTCAAGGGAGACAAGGTTGCGACGATCTCGAAAAATGGTTCGATGGCTTACGGGCTGGTTCTTGTCAATTTGTTTGGGGGGGACAAGCAAGAACAAGGAGACAGATAGGAAAGGATCCGCTTCCCCGTGTTTTGCTCTTGGCATGTGATGGTATTTTGCGATAGGGCCCTACATTCTCGTATCTATAAATCGAGACTCGTGAGGGCTAGAACGTATGGTTGAACAAGGGGATTTGCTTTTGTCGGGACCGAGAAGAGGGGAGACACAGTTAGCCGATGAATGGAAGGGTCCTCGTATCAGGGCTGAATTGAATTGGAAGAGGGAGGGACGGGAGTGTGATAGTCAAAGTTAGTGGTGACTGCACCTGCTGAAGATGGTTTAGGTGGGTTACTTGAGAAGACAGGGGTTGCTACTGTTGGTTTTGAAGGATTAGCTTGTGATTTATCTTGGACATTCCGTTGGGCCGTGGGATGTGGATATTGACCAAGATCTGATGTTTAGTCTCTGGGAGATCTAAGATGGAATCCACCATTTTCAATGCCGAATAGTGAATCCACATCTTCAATTCTTTACGTATTCAATCAAGACTGATCGAATGCACAGACAGACAGAACCCGGCAGCATGGTCCAGGCGGTATCTTCAGCGTGCGGGGGGGGCCCAGCCAAAAGGCGTGACAGCGTTACAACGACTCGCTCTAGGCGTTCTAAGGCTTCCCCACCTCCACTGCGATAGCGTCCCCTCGGTCCCTCTCCACCAATGCCCGTGGTTATTCCTCAACGCTCGGAGCGTTTGACAGCTCGATCTCAGTGGCGTCTTAGTTG